CGTGTGCTTCCGCTTGCGCTTGCAGCTACGGTCGGATTGCGGACTCGCCTGCGCTGCTGCAAGCACTAATGCGGCAGCTCCTGGTGCGGCCACACACAGGCTGCCGTCATGACATTTTCTAGGGTTGTGATTGCAACCCTACCGATTGTCGCGTCGGGGAGAACGCCATTAAGGAAACCTATTGAAAGTTTTCTGAGTTCTGAGTCCCAACAGCTTGAATTTCTACCGGACAACCTAATGTGGAAGGTATTGGTCCTAACGCATCCGAATGCCCTTATAGTTTTGTCGCAGTCTAGAGCAGAACGAATACCATGAAATGCGGGTCTATCTATAGACGTCTGAAAGTCTGAAATCACAGCCTTCTGACCGAAAGGACTGATACAGCTTGCTGCCTGCGAACACTGCGAGACATCTAGGAGGTTGCAGCCGTTGCAGCACATAGGGGTTGGTCAGGAGAAATCGAGGGTATTTGTAGTGTGGAATGCAGGCTGCTCCAACAAAGCAGGTTCCGCTATGTCAACCGTGAAGGTTGGCAATGGTATGCAATAGCCCAAAAATCAAGGAATGTCCCCATAAAGCAGGAAATAGAGCAGTTACATATGGAACAGAACAATACTCCCAAAATGTAGCAAAATATTTCCACATGTTAAAATTATCAAACATTCAATAAATTTAGCGAGAAGGTTATATTGCATATCGCATCAACTAATAAATGATACTTTTTAGGGTGACTATTTTATTTGGGACATTAGCCATTATGGGGGCAGATTATTGACACTTCAAATACTAATCTGGTTCGTATGGTTAGTTACAATACCGGTGCCTCCCTAAAACGGAAGAGTATGCGACCAGATCGACGTCAGCGACTTTCGGTTTGGTTTGGGAGCTGTGAGATTGCTGTTGCCGTCGTCATCCAACGGACGCTAAAACTGTCGGCTAAAATCCCCCGCCTAACATTTTGTTCTTGACAGCGCGTCGCGCACTGGTGGCAGGAGTCGCAGAGCGACTCTGTGCGTGCGGAAGCACGCCACTGCGAAACGGGATCAACCAGTCAGTCTTGTTCAACCAAATGCAACCCGCTGGGGAAGTGGACTGCAGCATTTCCTGACAGGCTCAGAACCGAAGCGCGGTAATGTCAAAGATTGTGAATGTTGGAAATTGCGTGTATCAACGGACGGCCGTTGTGCTAGGGAAAACAGATCGACGGCTTGCGTCAGCTTGCATTCTCCTAGCTACCCCAATTCTACTACCAGCTGACCCAACCCAAGCCACCACGGTAATGACGAGTTGTGGTGGTCGTCAGGCGCGTGAAGGGGACTGAACACTGGCACAAGTGGTGCCGTACTACTCCCTGCCTCCAGTCTATGCCATGGATAGAGTACAAAGGGTTATGAGCTGATAGCAGGATCAATAGAGTCTAGTTTTCTTGCGTCTCTCTTCTTCGGACCCGTTCTCAACATCTGCATGCGTGTAGAGTCGCTTTAAGTACACAAAGCAAGCGAATTCTTCAAACATCACTGAAGCACTTGAGCCGTGCAATACTCGACTGTATCCAGTAATCCCAGTGACACCAATCTTCTCTGCCCTTCTAAATCCCGACACAATGACCATGCTGCATCGTAGCTTCTCGCAATTCTGCGTGCCGTCAACCGTCCTCCTCCCCCTAATCGCCATTGTCGCGTTCGCCACGGCAGGATGCCTGGCCACTCCCCCACAATCCATCCTCCCGTACCAGCTACAAATATTCCGTCTCGACTTACAATCGTCGGACACGTTCCGTCGGTCGCTCATGCCGCTGCCAATGGGCGACGAAACGGACGGTGCTGACGGCGACATTAGCTCCATCCGACGAATCACGAGCGAAACCAGTTCGTCCAGCAGCAGCAGTGGAAAGAAGACAAAGGCGAAGAAGACGAAGAAGACAAAGAAGGCGAAAAAGACGAAGAAGTCGAGGAGGTACAGGAACGCGGTCGGGGCGACGGCAGCAACATCATTGGTGGCGAAGAAGAACACGGGGTCGCGAGGAAAAGCGCAGGCTACCCAGGGCGACTCGTTCCTGCATGAAGCGATTGCGAGTGCCAACGAGAAGGCGGGAAGGTGAGGAGTGCTTGCCGACGCAGTATGATCATTGCTACTAGCTATAATTCCAGCCATATCGTTATCGAGGGTTCACCAGTCTCACGAATGTTATGACCAATCATCGTCCTGAAGTTACTAATTTCATGCTTCCTGCCTCTGTTTCCGTTCTTTTGGATTTCCTCCACCTTCCCCCCTCCCCTCCCCTCCTCCCCTTTCTATCTCTCTCCCCGGCATGATCGATTTTCACTGGTCAACCTATGCAGTGCCGTCAAGGTGGTGCTGTCTGCTGACGTGACACTCACGTCAAACCTCCCTCAGCTAGAGTACAACGCCATTCTCCATATCCAAGGCAAATGCGGAGGCAAGCGCTGCGTAATCAAGGGCAACGGCTTCAAAGGCTTCAACTGCGATCCCGGCGCCGCGCTACAGCTCGAGGACCTCCACATGGAAGGCTTTACCGGCGGCGCGATCATCGGCGAATGCAGCGGCGTGGGCCTTGCGAAACCGCTCATCGCTCGCCGTGTAACCTTCCGTGGTAACAGTAACACGCGAGGCGGAGCGATTTCGCAGGAGCTCGCGACGATCCAGATCTCGGAGTGCCTTTTTGAGAACAACCAGGCGTCGTTGGATGGCGGCGCGATCTCGCTGCTGCGAAGCGGGTTTCTCGCCATTTTCAACTCGACGTTCGTGAATAACGTGGCGACCGGCGGATATGGCGGCGCAGTGGCCGGTCAGGTTAACTACGTGCAGAGGAGCCGGTTCGAGGGAAACTCGGCGAAGCTAAACGGAGGCGCGATCTACTCGACCGCGATCGCCGGGCAGGCGCCTAGTATAATGCGGACGTCGTTTCAGGCGAATGTCGCGAGGACGGGTGGCGGTGGTGCGCTGTTCGTGGGTGTGGAGGGTGGTGGGAGCGCGAAGCTGGTAACCCGTGTGTGCTATTCGTCGTTCGCGAAGAACAGTGCTGTTTCGCCAACGGCTAGCGATGATATTCTGGTGGATGGCGTGGAGGGCGGGGGGAACGTGCTGCAGCTGTGTAGTAACCAGAAGCCGGACATGGTGGCTCAGCAACCCAACGCCCAAGGTGGGTTTAGCAGTTCTACGGTATTCTCATATCCACAGACGCTTGCGCGCGCGAGCAAGCACGCACAGGTGCACGCGACTTATGTAAAGGCACACGTGCAAATGCAAACCCATTTAAAAAAAGGTGCTGTTTCCTGCTCGATAAGTCTCGTGCCCCGTTCCATCTCATAGGAGTTGTTTATCCCATGTCCGTTCCCCCATCCCGCCCCCTCATTCGCTATGTGGCAGTTGTCCAGTCGTGCAAGGGGTGCTCTGGCTGCGGCGATGGCGATGACTGCAACGGCAAGGGCAAATGCATCTACGATAAGGTGAGCTGCTTAAGCGGCTGGCGCTCGTCAATAAGTCCGTATATGCATCCATCCGTCCGTCCGTCCGTCCGTCCATCCATCCATCCGTCCGTCCATCCATCCGTCCGTCCATCCATCTGTTAACGTCCGCGTACTCCCAAGCGTCGGTCTCCCTCCTCCATCCCGCTCCGTCCGATTCACCCGTTCCTTCTGTCGTCCCCTGCGTTCCCCTCTTGTCTACCCAGGTGGACGGGACTCCCTCGTGCAAGTGCCAAGGCAGCTACTCCAAAGCCGCCTCCTGTGCTACATGCGAGCTCGGCTACAGCCTTGCTTCTGACTGCAATCTCTGCATGGCCGGTTTCATTCCTGTCACTACCTCATCTCGCTCCTCTTCCTCCGCCTCCTCTACCACGTCCTCCGCCGCGATAGCGAAGAAAGGAACTGCTACTAACGGGAATGTGAAGTGCAAGACGTGTCCGGCTCTCAAGGCGATTAGTGACCTGGACGTGTACCGGATTATTGGCGGTGCGCGTGTGTCAACCCAAGCTGCGTGCGCGGACATGTGTGCGTCGAGCCGGAATATCCAAACGTACGAGGGGGATAAGCTTTCTTGCGAGAGCTGGGTGTGGATTCCCAAGGGCTCGCCTGGTGCTGCTAAGAGCAAGAGCAGCAAGAGCACCGGCAGTGGCAGCGGTGGCGGTGGCAGTGGAGGGAAGAAAAAGGGTGTGGCGGAGTGGGAGAGTGAGTGTGCGGGTTTCTGCGTGATGCGGCATACGGACGGAGCGTGTAGTAATGGGACTGCTGTTCTGAGGACTGCAAATGGGTACTCGTACTATGTTGGGTCGTTCGACGATGGCAGCTGCCAGGCATGAGGTGCAAAGGGGAGGGGGGGGCGGTGGTCTCAGGTTGATGGTGGGATAATGGAAGAAGAAGAGGACAGCGAGTCTCGGATTGATTGGAGGGAGTACAGGCCGTTGGAAGAAACTGAAGTGGCGTGCTGACTGGCCTGGCTTTCAGCTATGGGTGAACACAAGGAAAGAACCCTGTCTGGGGGTACTGGTACCAGGTATGCCCATCAGGTACCAGCATACTGGCAGAAATATACGTCAGGGTCAATTGACCATGTGCAGTAGAGGAATTTGGTAGAAGTTGTAGGTATAATTATGTATGTATAACTAGTGTGGAAATAGATAAACAGTGAATTTTTGTCCTCTCAAAGGGCTAGGCGCAGCACAGACACCTCCAAGAACTCTACCAAGCCATGGTAAAAGAGTCTGGCCTATAGAATAATCCTAATGGCATTCTCTCCACTTAATATCTTGCCTCTTAGTTCACCTGTTTAATACTTTCCTGGGCACACTCCTACAAAACTCATTTCAATTATTTCTAGGCAAATACTTACAAGGCAACCTGCTTATTACATACATGATATGGCGGGTTTCTTATCCATAGATAAAGGTACCAGTAGCGTATAACGAATCTCTGATGAAGCCCTCCATTGCGTTTGGTCTCCTGAAAGATAGGTCCCTACCCTAGATCTCTGTTCTAACTTTACAAGTGCCGTGCGCCCTGGTCCGCCTTGGCTTGGATGACTGCTGCAGACCCTGGTAACCTCGTAAGAGTCTCGATCAGTGCTGTGGGAAGGGAAACATGAGAGGAGAGAGGTGGCAGGAATTTGAGGTGATGCAGCAAATGCATTGCACATTGTCAGGTGTGCGTACCAAGTGAAGGCCAAGCCGCCAAGCCAACCTCCAACAGAAACCATTTGTCACACAGGAGGAAGGCATCTTCCAGAGAGGTTGGGTGTGTGGGCGACACAACACAATCCCAAGGCTGCCTAGAAGAGTTGCATTGTAGCAGAGAGAGAGAGACATCGTGGTTAGCTTACCCTCGCGGGCACACTGGCTTTGCCCTGCTGCCTGGTTCCAAGGCTCCTAGACATCCGTTGCCGGATTTTTATCCTCAGAGCTTGATGCATTGCCGGGTTGAGTCAACCCCGAAGCAATAGATGCTGAGACGCATGACGATCAATCCATGCACGCAAGCACCTTGGTGGTGTCTTAAGCGCCGACTCTCAAAATCGGCACAAGGCAATCCACGCACGCACTGCCAGTGGCACGTACCTTGGCTTTGTGAGGCGCCTCAAAAGTCGTCTCCTAAATCGGCACAAGGCAATCCAATCCATGCACGCACTGCCAGTGGCACGTACCTTGGCTTTGCCCCACTGCCGGTTGAAAATCCCTTCCAGCATCGACTGCCTTGCAGACCGCGGCTGCTGCGCTCTACCAGCATCACAATGCATGCGGTTCTTATACGGGAACCGATTCAGTCGAATGAAGGCTTGCACGTACCTTGGCTTTGCCCCACTGCCGGTTGAACATCCCCTCCAGCATCGACTGCCTTGCAGACCGCGGCTGCTGCGCCTTGCCACTCCCCAGCCCTCCGTTCGGCACACTGCTGCTGCTACTGCTGGTGCTGTTGATGCTGCCATGAGTGCTATACATGGGCCCTTCCTGATCCGTGCTCCCCATTCCACCTCTGGACACTGATACACTGGGAGGGGTCAACTCAGAGGCAGCAGAGGCAGCAACAGCGGCGGCAGGAGTGAGTGCAGTGGTGGCACAAGCAGCAGTAGTAGCAGGGGAAAAGGTGGAGGCAGAGGACGGGCGCATGGAGGAGAAGAAAGGAGCGCCACACGCCCGTAGCATTCGACCATGTGCGAGTGGCGACTCCACCCCCTCCTCTTCCTCCTCATCCTCCTCCCCGTACCCTTTTCCATCTCCTCTCCCTCCTCCCCTCCCTTCGCCTCCCCCCTTCCCTGTCCCCTTCGCTCCCTTGCCGCTCTTATGCACCTCTCCTTCCGATACGCTGCGACCAATGCTGCTGCCCCTGCTGCCACTGCCCGCGCTGCAAGGCACAACTTGCCCCGGCCACACACCCACTGCAGTCCCCCCAGGCCCACCATCTGCCCCTCCCTCGCCTCGTGCAGACCCTATCAGCACTACAGCCATGCCACGCTCACCACTCAGCTGCTGCTGCTCTTGCTGCTGGAACTGAAACTGGAGGTTTTGCTGGGACTGCTCGGATTGCCCAATCAAATTGTGCTGCTGCTGCTGTTGGTCTGGAGTGACCACAACACAGCCACTCTCTGTTGCAACATCCACTCGCAACCGTGCCCGAAGCTCTGCCCGTCGCGCTGCCTGAATGCTTCCCTCTCCTTCATCCCCAACCTCTCCTCCTCCTGCTGCTACTGCTGCGTCTGCTGCAGCTACTGCAGCAGCAGCTGCTGCCTCTATTGCCGCCGCTCTTGCTGCCTCGACCCCTAACTCATGTGCCGGCCGCAACGCAAACGAGAGCTCCTGGCCAAACCACAGCACGGGGACAGGCTGAGAGGAGTGCAATGGTTGAGACGAGGAAGGAGAGAGAGAGCTGGGTTCCCCTTCTTGCACCGGTGAAAGAGTCGCCGTCGCTGCTGCTGCTGCCCCTGCTGCACCTGCTGCACCTGCTGCACCTGCTGCCCCTGCTGCACCTGCTGCACCTGCTTCACTTGCTACCATCCCAGCCAGATCCCCCAGGTTCTCTTCCCCTTCCCTCCCTGATCCGCAGAAATTCACCCCTATGCTGTTGAACGACGAGGAGGGGGAACGGCTGGCAGGCGTGCAAGGGGGAGGGGCGCCTGGCCTGCTCCCTCTCGGTGTGTCATACGACATGCACGACTCGCAATCCGTTGCATCACCACCTCCCACTCCATCCAACCGACCTGAACCTCTCACAAATCCTGCTCCTCTCCCTCCTCTTCCATCCGCCCCTGCACCCCCATCGCCTCCTCTCCCTCCTCCTAATCCACTCTCTCTCACACCCACCATCACACCATCACCATCACCATCACAGTCACCAAAAGCATCCATCCCCCCTCTCACACCATCACCATCAGCAGCAGCAGCAGCAGCAGGAGGAGGGGAGTAATCGAGCACGAGAATCTCAGACCGTACGATTCCATCGTCTTCCAGAACCATGGATGCGCCCTTGCCTGCTGCACACACTGTCCGCACCACGTCTCCCTCGGGCTTGTCCCGAACCAGGATGTTCATCGTCGCTGGTAGCGACTTCCTGGGAGCACGAACGCCAGCGCCAGCATTAGCAGCAGCAGCAGCAGCAGCAGCAGCAGCAGCAGCAGCAGCAGCAGCAGCAGCAGCAGCAGCAGCAGCAGCAGCAGCAGCAGCAGCAGCAGCAGCAGCAGCAGCAGCAGCAGCAGCAGCAGCAGCAGCAGCAGCAGCAGCAGCAGCAGAAGCGGCAGCGGCACCAGCGGCAGCAGCAGCTTCTGTACCCTCTACAAGCCCCCCTGCTGCTACTGCACCAACCACACCACTCCTGGCCTTGCCATTGGCTGCAGCTGCAGCACGGGTGCCTGCATACACGCCGCTGGTCATGCTGAAATCGTCGTCAAATGAGGAGACGGATGAGACGGAGGAGATGGAGGTGGAGGAACAGAGCGGGACTGAGTCTTGAGGTGACAGCAAGGGGTCGTACGGCACCTGCTGCTCTGATATATTGGGGAGTGACGGATCCTGGTGCGACTGAGACAGGCGTGACTGATCCAATTGTGCCTGCTCTAGATCTGCCTGCCCTAGGCGTGCCTCCACTAAGTCAGGAGGCACCAGATCTGCCTGCTCTGGCTGCATTTCATGCTGCTGCTGCTGCTGCTGCTGGTCGTTGATTGTCTCCTGTACCAGTTGGGTGGGCTGCTCCTTGTGTGTGCCTGATTCAGCCTTGCTGCTTGATGCAGGCGACGTGACATGGAGAGAAACAGCAGCGGTGGCAGCAGGAGGAGGAGAAACAGTAGCAGTAGCTACTGCTGCGGCAGGTGAGGGGGCAGCAGCAGCTGCAGCTGCTGCAACAGGCTCAGCAGTAGCAGCTTCAGGAATAGGAGCAGGTTCGGGAGCGGCTAGGCTGGAGTTGGAAGCGCGAGAGGAGTGAGCGGATCGAGAACGACGAGATTGTGAGTGTGCATGAGAGGTTGAGGAGGCGGCACAAGAAGAGACAGCCTTGCTGAAAGACACACTGCCACCTGCTGCAACAACCGCAGCACTAGCAGCACAAATGGCCGCACCCGCAGCCGCAGCAGTAGCACCAGGAGAAGCAGCAGCAGCGGCAGCAGCAGCAGCAGCAGCAGCAGCAGCAGCAGCAGCAGCAGCAGCAGCAGCAGCAGCACTGCCAACCGTGCCTCCACGAGTGCTTGTTGCACCAGTGGTTGCACTGGCGGACTGAGCAGCAGCAGCAGCAGCAACAGCACCAGCCGATTCACCACCATCACCAGCAGAAGTCGCAGCTGCAGATGCAGCGAAAGCTGCAGCTGCGTCAGAGCCTCCTCTAGATTTTCCACGCATAGAATGCGAAGGGGAGTCAACCCAGCACCGGTCCAGCCTGCCTGCTGATTCAGAATAGCCCCGCCGCAGCTGCCGGGACTTGTCCTGCTGCTGCCTACCCTTACTGCTCTTCACCGATTTCTCATGGCCTGTGGTGTCCTTTCCTTTACCTCTTGCAATGCTGCTGCTGATGCTGCTGCTGCCTGCTACTCCGAGCCTTGCAGCCTCGACAGCAGCAGTAGCACTAACGGAAGCGCCAGTATCAGTATTATCATCATCATCAGCAGCGGCAGCAGCAGCAGCAGCAGCACTACTAGCAGCAAGATTAGCAGGAGGTTCGGCGGGCAGAGAGGCAGAAACAGGCAAGCGAGCAGAAGCGGCCACCCGAGGAAACATGGATACGGTTCGAGAGGGTGTGAGCAGCGTGTTCAGTGCGGGGTTGCCAGCAAGAGCAGGGGAGGCAGGAGGGGAGGACGTGGGTGAGGGAAACCCATCCACTGCCACAGCAGGGGCATTGGCGGCTAGAGGGAAGTTGTGGGTTCGAAGCAGCCGATGAGCCAGCGGCCTGGCTAGCCCCACAGCAGAGGCAGCAGCTGCTGCAGCAGCAGCAGTGGTGGGGGTAGTGATAGCAGCAGCTGTAGCAGCGGAAGTGGTAGCAGGAGAGGAGGAGAGCGGGGTTGTGCTGGCTGCTGTTTTTATCCTGACAGGGCTCTTTTTTATGGATAGGGATCCCTGTCTATTGCCCACTAGCAGAGTAGCACCACCACCTCCACCTGCTGCTGCTGCTGCTACTCGTTGCAGCTGCACTGGCCGGTGGTCATCAAAGTAAGAAGGCAGGGCCAGCTCCTGTAGCAGCTGCACTTGCTGCTGCTGCTGCTGCGGCTGCTGCTGGTATTGGTGTTGGTGTTGGTGTTGATGCGAGTGACTTCTATGTTTGGAAGCAGGGAGAGACTTGCCTCGTGCAAGCTTCAAGCGCATGTGCTCATCAGGATGCATCGCATCCTCTGTCAGCTCGCAATCTCCATCGTCACTACTGTCATCACCAGCAGCACCAGCAGCAGCAGCGGTAGCAGCAGCAGCACCACCACCACCACCACTAACGCCAGCAGCAGCAGCAGCAGCAGCAGCGCCACCGCCGCGGCCACCGGAGGCGCTGTGGAGACGAGGAAGGTGATCGCCCCTCAGGCCCGCACTGCCACTGAGAGGCACAGCCAAAGAGTCTAGCTCTCGCTTCGGCGCACTCTTTGCCTTGCTGAAACTTGCTCGCCTCTCTGCTGCTGCTGCTGCTGCTGCTACTGCTATGGCTGCTGGTTCTGCTACTGCGGTTTTGCCCGTCTTTGCTGCTGGCCCTGCTCCCGCAGGCAAAACAAGACGGTCACTTCTACCCGTCTGCATGCCTGAATTACTCTTATTCCTATCCCTATCCCTCTCCCTATCACCATCCCTATCCCTATCCTGTTCCCTATCCCTATCCTTGGCACCATCCTTATCCCTATCCTTGTCTCGATCCTTATCCAAACCCCTCAGCACAGCGACTCTTAGATCACCTGCTCTCATTCCCACTGCTTCCCTGCCACCACCACTCCCCTCCCTCCTCCCCACCTCTCTCCCCTTCCCTCCTCCACCACTCCTCTCTGCTGGCTCAGTTACCCCTCGCCTCAAAACCCTCACCTTTTCCTTCCCCTTACCACCACCACCACCACTAGTAACACCAACACCACCACCACTGCTTCTGCCGCTGCCGCCGACGCCACCGATGCTGCTGCTGCCGATCCTCTCAGCCTCGCTCCCATCCGCCCTCCTCCCCCCTCTCTTCCCATCTGCCGTCCCAGGCCCATCCCCCTTCCTCCCTTTCCCCTCCCTCTTCTCCTTCCCTGCCCTACCATCATCCCCAACAGCTACCTCCAGCCCACCATACCCAAGAGAACTGCCGCGGTTGCCGTGGTAACCCCGGTAGTCACCACCACCATTGTAACCAGCAGCACCGGAGGATTTGCCGATTCCCACACCTGCACCGCTTTTACCTCCTGATGATACTCCTCCTCGCTCTCGCTCTCGCTCGGCAGGGGCGGTCCAGGTGCGAGAAAGAGGAGGGCGACGATCCAGAACCGGAACAGGACTCAGTGACCCCCCCTCCCCACCTTCCTGCATCCGCTGCTTCAGCTGTGCTACCCTCGGCCCCGAATCCACAGCACTCTCGGGTTCGCGGCCTGGAAAAGAAGGAGAATCAAAGTCGCAGCTGCTGCTGCTGCTGCTGCTGCAACTGCTGCTGCTGCTATCAGTGCGCAGCGAACCCGGAAGGGGGCTTTGATGACCTTCTATTGCTGGTCCTGCTGGTTGACTAGCATGAGGGTGCGAGAGGGAGTGAGGGTAAGCGAAAGACTGCGCAGAATCAGCAGGTGCGAGGGCGGAGGGAGGAGCAAAGGCGAGTGTGCTGTGCACCCAGGGAAGCTGACCCTCAGCCAGCAGTCTCACCGCCTCCTCTTCATCCTCTATTACCGCACGTGGAGCGCTTTGCGCCTTGCGTAACTGCCTACGCGGAGACAGCTCATCATGCCTCTGCTTGTTTCCCTCTTGTTGCTGCTGCGCCTTCTGCTGCTGCTTTTGCTGCTGCTGCTTCTGATGGTGGTGGTGATGGTGGTGTTTTTTCCCCAACTCAGAACTCAAGTCCGCAGACTCCTGCTGTATGTGCTTCTTTCCCTTCTCTTTCGCCTTTGACTTCTTTTCCTCCCTATGTTTCTTGCCTTTCTTTGCCTTCTTTGCACTCCCATCCCTGCTCTGCTCCTTCTCCTCCTCTTCCAATTCCTCAAGCACGAGACTCGGCATGCCCTGACGCCACGACAAACCCCGGCTGTTTCCGAGGGAAAGAGAGGAGATGGACGTGAGAGACGGGAGCGAAAGAGGAGAGGGAGGCATTACACCCCGCGTGCCTCTCCCCCCTCCTGCTGCTGCTTCAAACGCTGCAGCAGCTGCTGCTGCTGCCACTACGGTTGCTGGGGACATAGCAGAAGAGGAAGAGGAGGCGAGGCGGGAGCGCGGGGAAATGGTGTTGCTCCAAGCACTTGGGGGGAAAGGGCGACAGGGAGACGAGGGGGAGGAGGGGGAAGGGTAGGCGGCGGGGGAGAGGGACGATGGTTGGAAGCATGAGGGTCCGGCACTTTTGTAAGGAAGGAGGGAGGTGACGTTAGGATTCTGGTACTGCTGTTGCTGCTGGTGCTGTTGCAGGTGTTGTTGCTGATATTGGTTATGGTAGTGTTGCTGTTGCTGTAGATGTTCCTGTTGCAGTTGCAGTTGCAGCTGCAGTTGCTGCTGCTGTTGCTGTTGCTGTTCCTGCTGCCGCTGGCGTTGGTGGTGGGGCATGTGCATGTACTGAGACAGGCCGATGCCGTGTCGAAGGCTCTTCTGCGACAGAGACGGCGGCGACACACCAGTGCTGCTCGCTCTGCCTAGCACGCCGCTTGCACCGCCACCACCACCAGAAGCAGCAGCAGAAGCAGCAGCACCCATAGCAGCAGCAGCAGCGATGGGAACAGCGAGCATGGACGAGGCAAATCCAGCAGGACGCAGCCCAAGAGGGGACCGTCCTGCTGGGTGCCTGGGGATAGGCACAGCGTCTAACTGCCTCTCAGGTTCACTCTTAGCCTTGGACAGCCACCGTGTCTTGCTCCTACTGCTGCCCTTGCCCTTGCTCTTGCTGCCTTCGCTGTTGCTCGCGCCGCTCTTGCTCTTACCGCTGCTCTTGCTGCTGCTCTTGCTCTTGCCCTTGCTGCTCTTCTCCTTACTGTTGCTCTTCTCTCCCGTGATCTCAACGCTATCGTCGTTGCACTCGCTCCTCCGCGTATTGCCCGCAGATAACACCTCTTCCAGACCAGCCTCCCCCAGATAAACCTCCCCCACGCCCCCAATTTCCCCAGGCACTACGGGTTCTTCTGAGAGGATGTCTTCCCATCCGGCTGCATCCTGGCTACAGCTGGATCTGGACCGCCCTGCCCCACCGCCACCTGCAACAGCAGCAGCAGTGGCACCACCACCAACACCACCACCACCATCACCACTTGTCCCTGCACCTGCAAATCCGCTCCTGCCACCAACCACGGCGCGACAGCTGGCAGAGGAAGCAGGAGAGAAGACGTCTGGAGAGAAAGGACCAGAGGAAGGTTGGGGGAAGGTCTTCGTGTTTGGGATAGGCGCTGCTGACAGGTCTTCGTGTCTTGCTGCTTCTCCTCTTGCTGCTGCCGCTGCTGCGGCCTTTGCTGAAGCGATAGTGGCGGCGGCAGCAAGGGAAGAGGATTTTGGGCGGTGGCGGGATGTGGATATGGCAGACGAAGGGGAGGAAAAATTGGCAGAGTAGGAAGTGTGGGAGGAAGGTGAGATGATTGGCGAGGGGAGAAACACGGAAGAGGAGGGTGAGGAGGGGTAGGAAGCGGAGGGAGGGAGGGGGGAAGAGGCAGCGATAGAGGTGGAGTGAGGAAAGGGAGGAGGGGCAACAGCAGCAGTGGAGCGAGAGGAGGGGGAGGGAGAAGGGGATGGGGAGGCGAGGGAGGAAGGAGCGATGCTAGACATGCTTGGAACATGAATGCGAAGCGACTGCCACCGCTGGGCTAGAGCCTTGTGTGATGCTGCTGCTGCTGCTGCTGCTGGTGCTGCTGCTGCTGCTGTTGCTGCTTGTTCCCCACGCGTTCCTATCTGTCCATATCGTGCCACTAGAGTCCTCACATTCCCACCCTCTAACTCTGCATCTCTATAAATCCCTGCATACCAGCCTGTGCCACTGCGTTCCTCCCAACCTGCTTGCATACCTCGCCCCATACCTGCCTCCGCACCTGCATCCGTACCTGCATCCATGCACATCCCAGTCCCCTTCCCCTGCTCCACCCCTTCTCCCAACCCCACCACCTCCCCTTCCTCCTCCTCCCCATTGCAACCATCCCGACCGCTGCTCACTGCACCAGAACGCTCCCAATCTCCACAATCTCCTCCCTTGCTGCTGCCTCCCCTACCCCTTCCCTCACTGCAGTCCTCCCCATCACCACAACAGTCCACTAGTAGCAAGTCAGCAATACCTTCACCAACCACACAGGAAGGAGACTCATTCAACACGTGCTCTTCCCGAACCATTTCCATTCCACCAGTCCATCCCATAACCGCATTCCCATCTCCATACTGATCCCCATCCCCATCCCCAACCCCATACCCATCCGCGTCCCCATCCCATTCACTGCATGAGTCCAGAATGAGCACGTCTGCATCGCCTCGCACCACCACACGGCCCTTCTCCACCATGCCATCATCAAACACATCACTGAACGCATCTTCAGCAGCAGCATCAGCACCAGCAGCAGCATAATAATCCTCAGCAGCGGCATAATCACCAGCACCAGCAGCAGCGGCAGCAGCAGCAGCAGCAGAAGCAGCATCCCACCGACCTCCTCCCCAAGGGGCCTCTATCCACCCCAGCCCTTCTGTCTCATTCTCTTCCGCATGCACCTGGTTGGTTCGACCCATGCTCCCAACCCCACATTCCCTGCCCACACCAGCAGCAGTGGCAGCAGCAGCAGAAGCAGCATCAGCAGCAACTGCTGCGGCACTAGTAGTAGAGGCAGAGAAGGATGTTGCGCCGCGCCTTTGCTTCTGACCGCCTACTCTCTTGCTGCTGCTGCTGCCGCTGCTCGCAGTCTTCACACGCCGTTCACCTTCCGCCCTGCTCCCGCCCCTCCCTCCCCTCCCGCTCCTGCTCCTGCTGCTCCTGCTGCTGCTGACGTTCCGTGATGGGGACTGGGGATGCGAGAGGGCATGGATGTGGGGATTAGCTGCACGTGGATGCATGTTGGTGCTGTTTCCTGTTGAAAGGCCGTCGCTGGTCACATTGGGGGGTTGACTCAAACGAGTGGCAATACCAGCTGCAGTGGCTCCTGTTTTAGTCACTTTCGCTTTGGTCACTCCACCTTTAGTCACTCCCCCTTTACTCACTCCTGCTTTAGTCACCGCTGCTACAGCAGGAGAAGCGAGTGGGGAAGCTGAATCAGCAGGCAGCAACAGGGCATGGGAAGGAAGAGGGGAGGAGAGGGAGGAGGAGGTGAGGAGAGAGCACCGCACAGGAGCGCTTCTCAGTAGCTGGGGAGCAGCGACATTAGTCAAATTATCATCAACGCACTGATACTGCTGCTGCTGCTGCTGCTGCTGCTGCTGCTGCTGCTTCTGGTCCATCCTCTCCGCCTGGCCCCCTGCTCCCAATACCCTACCTCCAGCGGTCCCTTCCCTTGGAGGCTCCTCCGATCCCTCTCCTGCTTTCTCTCCTCCTACTCCCTCCCCTGCTCCCCCTCCTGCTCCCTCCTCTGCCTCCCCCTGCAGTAAGGGCTGCACTCGCCTCTGTTTCTCTCCCATCCGATCTCCCTCACCGTTTATCATCCCAACCGCGCAGCTCTTGCTCCTACCCATGCTGCTTCTGCTGCCGCTCCTGCTCTTGCTGCTTCTCTCAGCATTGCTGCTGCTAGTAGTGCCGCTCGTTACATTATCAATCACGTTGTTGCTGCTGCTGTTATTGATAATGCCAGTGGTGTTTCCTGTGCTGGTGTCGGTGCTGGTGCCAATGCTGGTACTGCTAATACCATTCTTTCCTCCTCTAGACACCCCTTTCCTGCTCTTGCTCTCCCTATCCTTCCTCCCCGTCGCCTCCACCCCTTCCTGCTCCCTCCGCTCTTCCACCCCCCCTCTCACCTTCGACCCCGCACCCCCCTCCGTTCCCAGGCCAAGTGGGGTTTCCCCCGCGCGTCCCTTCCTTCGAGGCGTGCCTTGTGCGACAGGAGAGTGAGCAACCCTGTGAGACATATCTGAAACGTGTGAGAGCGTGTTGTGCGGCCGAGGCGAGTCCGAAACTCTCTCCTGCACCTCCAACTCTCTCGCCTTCCCCCCTATGCTTCCCGCGCGTCCCTCTCTCCGCTTATCCTTCCCCCTCCCCTCCCCTCCTTTCCGCCTTCCCCCTCCCCCGACCTCTTCCTTCACCCCACACTCTGACTCTTGGAGTGTTCCGCTCTCCCTTTCCTCTCGCTCCGGCCCATCACCTCCCTCTCCGCCCATCACTCCCAAAGCCTCTTCGGTCCCCAGGTTGCTAGTATTGCTGCCTGTTCGGCAGTCCGTATCTTCCGGGTATGGCTTACAAATACGCGTGCCGCCCTCCTCAACCGGACCGTCGCAAGGCGTCGCAGGCCCGCGAGTAGTACCCATCGTTTCGCGAACCGCTAGCGAATAGTGGCGATTATGACGTCGCGTGCGACCGCTGCTCTAGTCTACAGCAGCTCTGCGCAGTTCTCGCTGGAGTAACCTCATCGCATCGCATCGCATCGCATCGCATCGCATCTCATCTTTTATCTCGGTTCGGCCCAACGTGCGTCATTTCGACGCTCCAGCCAAGTCAAAATCGAAAGGCGAATATGAAAAGCGAGCCTTTCATTATTAATTCGGTGCATTCCACATGTCGCGTTACTGCAAGTGAACGAGACTCTTCGTTGCGTTGCCTGCTTCGGTACGAACAGCATAATCCTGGACGTGTGACCATCTCTTAAGCTATCCGACCCGCCACGTGGCTTCTGACATCGAAAACCATCTGGTTCCAACTAATCCCTTACTCGTGTTCGGAAACCATAACCTGCTCGTGTGGAACCTAGTAGGCGAGGCAAAAAGGCCAGACGAGGGGAAGGAAGAAGAGGGTAGGGAGTTGAGCAGTCATACGGTACAGGCGTACACTGGCAATGACAGGCGCTCGCAGTTATCAAGGTTAAAATACAGTACTGTAATGTATTTCCCAGTGCCGTTCGGAGGTTTGAGTGCTGAAAGTAACGGCAGGGCAGCCTGCGAAGGACTGTCGCCCGTTTGTATTTGTTCAGTTCGATATTCATTCCGCTGCCCCCTGTGGCCCTCCCTCACTCCCCCCTCACCCGAGTTGGTGCTGGATTCCCTTAGCATTCTTTCGATATGCCCGTCGCAGACTCGCACGGGCTGTCATAGGAAAGCACTGTTGATCCTTGCGACGGTCGTGAGTGGGGCGTGAGAGAGCAAGGTGCATGCGATGCGCGTGCATAAAAGCAATCGAGAAGGAATCTCGAGATAGGCGTTACCTTATGAGTAACCACGATTGGTACGCGAGGCTCTGCGATCTCGTGTAACCGCAACGAGAGGGTCCACATGTCCACGTCGTACGTTCGTGCATTTCTGGACAATCCAATGCACTACAAGATATGCGTGGATTAAAACTTTTTGGATCCAGATTTTGATTCCTACATAATTGGATCACCAAGCAAGAAATGCCTGGCAAAATAAACCAAATGACCCAAACGACAGGCACTTAGTTTCTACCTATCTCCATACCTGCGATCCCAATACATTGGACCAAGCTAGGTCAACTAAGTCACCCAGCTCGGTCACAGCCTACCTCCAGCTGCTCTACCCCAAATGTATATCACAGCAGTTTTACACCCAATCCAAACGAAAGCACCCTCGTCTCCCTTGGAACGGGCTGCTCAAGGCATGAAAAACATGCGCGGGAAGTGCATGGACCTATCACTACCCAAGGGCGACAACCACTAAGTGATTGTAACGAGGACGCAGGGCTCAACAGACCCTTCAATAGTTTATTCTGTCCAAAGCTTCAGTGTCTTGTGTGGTTTTGTAAGCTTGAAACTGGTAATGTCATGGTGCTCTGGGGGTGCATGAATCCTGACCGTTGCTGCTGCTGCTGTTGCTGCTGCTGCTGCGATAAGTGCTGCTGTTGAAACTGAACCTGCTGCTGCTGCTGATGCTGATGCTGATGCTGCTGCACATGCATCGAAGCAGCTGCGGCCCCCATTCCCATGCCACCAAACACATCCAAATCACCATGCTGCATGTGCATGGGTTGGATCATAACAGAGCCCTGCATGCCAGACCCTGTCGGTCCCACTGCCATGTCACTAGACATCCTATGCCTCACAGGCTGAGGAGAATGTCCCATGGGTACTCCTCCTGCCCCTGTTGCTGTCCCACCCATCCACTCAAAATCTGCCGCCATACCCGTGCGCCCCCGCTGGTATGGCAATGGCATGTGCATGTGGTTGGGACTTACAGCAGAGCTTGACATGCTACGTGGAAAGCCTGCCACTCCGGCCAATCTCTGCTGCATGTGCTGCTGATGCTGTTGCTGTTGCTGCTGCTGCTGATGTTGATGCTGCCGCTGCTGCTGCTGTTGCTGTTGCTGCTGTTGCTGCTGCTGTTGCTGCTGCTGTTGCTGCTGCTGCTGTTGTTGCTGCTGTTGTTGCTGCTGCTGTTGCTGTTGCTGTTGAGAGTAGTCCAGCATTGCTACCCCTCCTGTAGCAGACGGTATGGCAAAGGAACCACCCCGTACCGAACCCGACACACCTGCACCGGTCTGCGGCCCTAATGTGTGCCCTTGCTGCGGCGACCACCGACCAGACGCAGCAGGCCGAGCAAACCCTAACCCTTGCTGCTGCTGCTGCTGCTGCTGCTGCTGCTGCTGCTGCTGCTGCTGCTGCTGCTGCTGCTGCTGCTGCTGCTGCTGCTGCTGCTGCTGCTGCTGCTGCTGCTGCTGCTGCTGCTGCTGCTGCTGCTGCTGCTGCTGCTGCTGCTGCTGCTGCTGCTGCTGCTGCTGCTGGGGCTGTTGTTGCATAGGCGACTGCTGCTGATGCTGCTGTTCGTGCCCCTGCGCTTGCCAGGAGTTCGAAGCAGCAACAAGAACAGGCGCCCCTGCCACTCCCCCTCCTCCTCCTCCTCCCTCCTCCGCCACAAAAGGGTGAGAGAGTAGCTCTGTGGCGGTGGGGCGTTGGGAGGGGCTGTGGCGCAGGCAGCGCAGAACAAAGTCCTTGCCCTCGTGTGAGAGTGTGTCTGGGATGGCTGGCAGATCGCCATTCTTGAGCTTGAACACAAAGGAGAACTGGCGCGAGCCAGAGAGAGACGCGAGGAGCAGCAGCAGGAAGGGTGTGCAGGGAAGAGAACGTGGGAGGAAAGGAAGGGAAGGCGTGGAGGAAGAGCGGGTGGTGAATATGAGGAGGGAGACATGGGGGGAAGCAAGATGCTGCTTCCAGCTTCTATATACGGCATACGGTTATGAATCATCCCAATATGTGAGGTCTTGCCGGCAAGAGACGCATGAAACCCCGTAGGGTGTAGCTACCTATCCCTGCCACCGCACCCAATGCATCAGGCACACTCCTTCACGCTCTCCTTCATTCGATTCCTCACCCTCTCCTTCATGCTCTCCCTCACTCACCCTTCTCTCTCCTAACTCTCTCCCTCACCCTCTCAACCTCTCCGCACCGCCTCCCTCTCATTGCCTCCCAACTCACCCCCTCCAAGTGGCACCACGGCGGTTTCCCCTGCGCCATTTCCAGCACTGTGCAACCCAGGCTCCAGATATCCGCAGGTAGACCGTATCCACCTGACACTGCTCCCAGCACCTGACAATACACATGGACATGTGAGCACGGGACAGGGTGAGGGCGTTGAGTATTATGGCACCTCGAAAAGGTTTCGAAGACATGACAACACATATGCACGTGTGAGGGCAAGAAAGGGTGAGGCAGCGAGAGGGGAGGAGGACGGCGAGAGAGTAGGCATGTACTGGGCTGGGATACGTGGAAAACAGCCCTGTTGGGGGGTGACAGTCGAGGTTGGGAGGAGAGGGCAAGTAGGGGTGCGGAAGTGGGAGGGTGGTAGGGGAATGGAAAAAAAGTGGAGAGAGAGGGTGCCATTGAAGAGGGTTTACAGGAAAGTGCAAGGGAAAAGAGGAAGGAGAAAGAGGAGAGGAAGGAGTAGCAGGAACTGCAGGAGATGGAGGGAAGGGCAGGAGCAGGGTTGGGTTGGGTAGGTAGGTAGGTACCTCTGGAGCCATCCAGTAGGGGCTGCCCTTGGTAGAGCATGCCATCATGCTGCGATCCAACTGATATGCCATGCACGCCACACACACACACACACACACACACACACACACACACACACACACACACAGATTGCAAGCCGCAGCGGAGAGGGGTGGGAGAGGATGTATTAGGGGCCCTCAAACAACCATGCTGCCGTCCAGCTGAGTTGCAAGGCAGTCCACTTTTGTGGAGGTGAGGTTGGTTTTGAGAATTCTCACAATCAACCTCCAGCTGCGATGCAATGCAATCCACACACCCACATTGCCGGCAGCAGGGTGGATGGGCGGATGGGTGAGAGAAAGCGGATGGGTGAGAGAAAGGAGGTGAGGGAGTGAAATGGAGACATGGGCGGAGAAGGGGGGGAAGGAGGGCGAAGGGGAGGGGCGGGAGGGGTTGGGGGAGGGAGAAGGCTCAGAGGAGAAGCATAGTGAAGGAGAGAGTGAAAGAGAGTGAGCGAAATTGACAGCAAGACGGGAGAGATGGGACTTTGGGACACAACGCAGCTCAGAAAATAGTGGTAGGAAGGGATGGAAATGGTGCAAGGTGTGTGGTGCAGAGGTTTGCGGTGCATGGCGGTATGTGGTTTGATGCAGTGGTGCACGGTGGTGAGCGGTGGCCCTACATTCTTGGCCATGCCAAAGTCTGCGAGCTTGACTTGACCCAGGGAGTCGACGAGCACATTGGCACACTTGATGTCCCTGTGGTGTGCCGTGCATACACATACACACACACATGCCACCGTGCACACATGCAGGCATGGACAGATGGACACATGCACACATGGATAGATGCGTGCATGGACACATGCACACATGCACGCATGGACGCATGGACGCATGCATATATGCACACGTGGACGCATGCACACATGCACGCATGCACAGGAACAGATGTGGTAGAAAAATGAGTGAGCAGTGAAGTTTTTTACATCAATAGATCACTTACCTATTGGCCATGAATGCGAACCCACAGCGAGACATACCCGCAAAGCAAGGGGGGAGAGAGACAACATTCGGAAGGGTGTCAAGAGGTGGTGGGGGTGGGCCGGGGGAGGAGAGGGTGGGGTGGGGAGAGAGAAGTGAAACGGCTGGCTCTAGTAATCCCTGTATTACCTTGTATCTCTTCAACAGCTATTCATTTCTAGCAGTTCCTTTTCTTCCTCTCGAGACATGAACATAGTATACCCGTCCAGCTATATAACTGCAGTGGCTAGTAACGAATCCGAATCCATTTCAACAGCAAACCAGGTAGTCTGGTGCAGGGTGCATCCCCCCTTAAAGTGGGTGGGTGGGGTGTTCTCATCCCCCCTTGAAGTTTCTCTTCCCCCCACCACATCCCTCACATCCCTACTCCCCCTCTCCCTGTCGTGCGCACCCACCCTCAACCCCCCCCCCCCCCCGCAACCCTCTCACTCTGCCCACCTGTGCATGGTGATCTTAAGCATGTGCAGGCACACGAGCACATGCAGCAGGATCTGGCGCGAGCGTGTGCGTGCATAAGGGCGTGTCCCACCCCCTCTCTCGCCCCCTCGTGTACGCAGTACAGTACACCCCTCCCCTCCTACACCCTTCCGCCCACCCACCTGTGCATGGTGTTCTGCATGTGCATGCACGCAGCCCCACCCTCCCACCATACCAAAACACCCCCCCAGCCCAATCCCGCCCATTCCACCCACCTGCGCATGGTATTCTGCATGTGCAGGTACGCGAGCCCGTGCGTGCAGTGCAGGATCTGGCGACTCTGACATTCCCAACGGCTCCTACTCCCCCTCCCTTCCCTGCCATGCGCACTCTCCCGCCCCCACACATCCCTCGCATCCGCCCACCTGTGAAGGGTATTCTGCATGTGCAGGTACGCAAGCCCGGGCAGGATCTGGAGCGTGTACGTGCGTATGAGCGCGTCCCACCCTTCTTGCTCCCCCTTCTATACTCCTCCCCTCCCCCACACCCTTCCGCCCACCCACCTGTGCATGGTGTTCTGCATGTGCAGGTACGCAAGCCCGTGCAGGATCTGGCGCGTGTACGTGCGAATGAGCGCGTCGCCAAAGCGCTCGTACTTCTTCAGCATGGATGCCAGCGACGCCTTGGCCAGGTCCAGAAAGATGTAGAGCGTTCCACTGCGGTGACACGTGCCCAGGTAGCGCACAATATTGGGGTGCTGCAGGCGACTCATCAGCTCCACCTCCTGGTTGTATAGCAAGGAGGCGGAAGGGGCAACGGAGGGAAAGAGCGAGGGAGCAAGGGTGGAAGGATGCATGGGGGTGAATGCAAGACAATGTGACACGTGCCCAGGTAGCGCACAATGTTGCGGTGCTGCAGGCGACTCATCAGCTCCACCTCCTGGAGAAGTGTGTGGGCGGGGACGAGAATGGATGGCAGGTTTATGTTAGACCAGAGCATTGGATGAATGAGCATAACATGAGCACAACGAGAGGTGTCGCACAATGTTGCGGTGTTGCAGGCGACTCATCAGCTCCACCTCCTGGAGAAGTGTGACGGCAGGGAAGAAAATGGATGGCAGGTTTATGTTGGACCAGAGCATTGGATGAAAGAGCAGGGGCAGAACGAGAGGTACCACACGACGTTGGGAGAAGAAGGGGTGGGGGGGGCAGGAGGGAATTCAACGAGAGAGAATCGAAAGCTCTGTGCTTGCCCAGAAATTCAATTCCAGCCACAACGTACGTAACCTGGAAAACCCCAGGAGGATTTCACGTCAACCAGCCCGTGCCAGGTGTATGAAGATTGGTTTTGAGACGTCTCAAAACCAATTCCAGCCACAACGTACGTAATCTGGAAAACCCCCCAGGAGGATTTCACATCAACCAGCCCGTGCCAGGTGTATGAAGATTGGTTTTGAGACGTCTCAAAACCAATTCCAGCCACAACGTACGTAATCTGGAAAACCCCCCAGGAGGATTTCACGTCAACCAGCCCGTGCCAGCCGCAATGTGCCGCAAACAGCCCGGGACGAGATTCATATTCCCTAACCCTGCTTGCGCTGCAGGGAGCTAAAAAACACTGGACATCGACCGAGGTGTGACGTCTTGAATCGACTCAAAGGAGCTTTCAGAGAGCAAAACGCACTGAATACCCGTTCGTAAATACCGAAGCAAAAAGCAGCAACGGGTAAGAGAAGACGGACCTGCTCTATCTCCTGAGCAAGAGCCGGATCCCCGTTCAGTGGGACCTCCTTCAATGCAAAGAAGCTCCCATCGTCGCTGCCGCACACACATCGTACAAGTTGGCCATAACAAGTTCCCAGGTTGGGGGGGCACAGGGAGAGGGAATGGGAGGGCACGGGGCAAGGCAAAGGGGAACGAGGAGAAGGAGGGTGAATAAGGGCGGAGGGGTTGGGAAAGGGAGCCGAGGGGAGGGGGAAGGGAGGGCAAGGAAGGGACCCAGGACAGGTACTGATATGATACTTGAACGGCAGAGCATATATATTCCACAGGGCAGTATCGAGCTGTGGCGAGCAGGCGAGTGAGCAAGAGCGAGCTTGGTTCTCAAGTAAAAAAGTGCTCTACCATGCAGCTCACAAAATGCGCCCTTGGTTTACACAAACCACCTTCGCACACACAAAAAAAGAAAACTTTAAAGTTGCCAACCGGACTCGAAACCCTACCCTAGAGCCGCCTGCAAAACTCTCCTTCCTAAAGCGAAGAACACAAACCTAAAGCTGCCAGCCAGCCAAGCCACCAAAGTAGAGATTCTTGCAGGCGGTTTCTCAGCAATGCGTCACATGTGTCAAGGGCGACTCACAGGTTAAGCCCTTTATCCACTGCGCCATAGCTGACAAACCCAAGCTCCTGAGTCGGTTTTGAGAATGAAAAATCTCAAAAGCTTCTCAGCAATGCGTCAGTCACATGTGTCGAAGCCGACTCACAGGTTGAGCCCTTCATACACAGTGCCGTAGCTGCCGCGCCCAAGCTCCTGCCCCTTGGCCCATTTCACGGGGCACGACCTCGAATCCTTCTGTCCCCCACTCGAACCGCTTGCAACCCCTGACCCGGACGATCGTGCCAGCGGCGCTGCTCCTGACCCCCCCGCTCCCCCTGCTCCCCCCGCTCCTCCCTGCGCGTCGGACGCTGCAGAGGCGCTACTGAGCGGAACGGAAGGGAGCGCAGACGGAACCGCAGAAGAGGGGAGCGCGGAGGGTGAGGGGAGTGCGGAGGGGAGTGAGGAGGGGAGCGCGGAGGGGATGGCGGAGGGAGACGCGGCTGGCAGAGCCGCGGGCAGCGGCTGCGCGTGCTGCTGCGACGACTTAAGTAACGACGCCCCCGGCCCTGCGCCTAGCGCGACCAGAGTACTACTTAATCCTGACACGTCTGGTCCGCCTGGGCGGCTGGCTTGGGCCGGGAGCGAGGAGGACGAGAGCAACGGCGGGGGGAGGGAAAGAGGTTGCGCTGTACGCACGCGGGAGCGGGATAAGACGGAACGGCTTCCCCCCTCGTCCGCTTTGGCGGCTTCCCCACCAGTAGACAAGCCCCCCTGACTTCCCCCCGTTTTCCCCCCGCCCGCGCTGGTTCCGCTGCTGGTGGCACTAGCTGGGGGAGCAGCGGGGAGGGCAGTAGGGGGGGGTGGTGCGGGGAGAGTGGACGCGGTTGGGGGAGTGGGGAGGGCGTGCGCGGCTGCGGCGGCTGCAGCTGCGGCTGCACGTGCGTCGAACCCTAATGTGGCGATATCGGTGGAGCTACCCGTTGGCTTACGGCGAAGAGAGGAGGATGAGGACGAGGAGGAGGAAGAGGACGAGGATGAAGAGGGAGCGGAAGAGGAGGAAGAGGAGGAGGAGGAGGAGGAAGAGGAGGACGAGGAAGAGGAGGAGGAGGAAGAGGAGGAGGAAGAGGAGGAGGAGAAGGAAGAGGAGGAAGAGGAAGAGGAAGAAGAAGAGGAAGAGGAGGAAGCGGAGGAGGAAGAGGAGGAGGAAGAGGAGGAGGAAGAGGAGGAGGAAAAGGAGGAGGCGGAGGAGGAGGAGGACAAGGGGATTGCTGAGGAGGAAACGGTGGGAGAGGAGCATGAGGCGGACGAAATGACTAACAAATCAGAGACTGACGGAATACTTGGAAGAGTCTTAGCGGCCAAGCTACTACTAGAACCGCCACTAACACCAGAGCCGGCACTACTAACCGAAGCTCCAACTGCGGCAGCCCCGCCAGAGGGGGAATCCGCGGCTTCAGGAAGCGGAACGGCGGAGAAAGGCCGAGGGGACAAGCGCGACTGGTCGATTTGGAACGGGACTGACTGCCGACCACTGGGCGATAAACTCTGCTGCTGCTGTGCCTGCTGCGCCTGCTGTTGATGATGGTTGCTGTGGGAATTCTGTCGGGATTCTAAGGCCCCCGCCCCACTGCTTGCGTCTACGGGTAGAGCCGCCGCCGCAGCAGAGGCGGCGGCGACAGTGGCGGCGGAGGATGAAGAAGCGCTTCTCTCCTTGATGCTACCCCCGGTGCCCGTGATAAACGACGCTAACCGCAGCCCACGGGAGGAACTCACCGGCGCCTCATCCGACCGGCTACTTGACAGCGTCGGCGCCGTTAGCGGCCGCGGAGAGAGGTTCGACGGTCCGGTAAGGGAAGAAGCGGAGAGCGAGGATAGAGGAATGGCGGAGGACGAGACGGGCGCAGCGGAAGAGGCAGAGGAGGAAATCGAAAGCCGCGTGCTTGGCGACGTTGATCCTGACGCTGGGGAGCATGATCTTGGGGGGAGATTCGCCCCCGGATTTGCGACCGCAGGCGCAATCGCGGCGACGGCACCGGTGGAGGGTGAGGCTGGCGGAAGGCCGTTGGGCGGGGAGGAGGTGAAGAGCAGCGATGGGGAAGCGGAGGTGGAGGATGGGGCGGAAACGGACGTTGCTGCGGAAGTTGGGAAGGGGAGGGTGGCGGAGGAAGGGGACGCGGGAGGATGGCGGGACGGGGAGGCGGATGCGGAGAGGCGATTCGCGAACGGCAGGACGAGCGGGGCGGGAACCGATCTGCCTAAGACTCCTCCGCCTCTTGACCGGCGGGAGTCTCCGGAAGTGGCGGAACCCGAAGAGCCCCGCGATTTTTCCCCGTGAGGTGTCCGCTTAGGGCTGCTATTTACCGCGCCCTCGCCGGTAACGCCGTCCAATAAGCGTCCTCCCACCAGCTTCATTGCCGGAGCAATTAAACTGCTGCCGGCTCCGCTCGCGCCGGCGCCGGAAGAGGGACGACCGGCTGCGGAGCCGCCAGCAGCTCCCGTGGAAGCGGTCGGCACGCCGCCTTCGGGGCTGGATGGAGACCTGACGCCGTCTCGTTTCGTCCATGGAAGGAACCGCGCAACGCGACTTGATACTCCTCCGCCGCCGCCGCCGCCGCTGCCGCTTTCAGATGATATGCCGGACATTGCGGGGATTACGTCGGATGTGCGGGGCGAGTGCGACGGAGGTGCGGAAGCAAGGTGGCGGGCGAGACTTCACAAGGCCCTTTGATGCGGTTCAGGGTAAGTATAATTTGAAAGTCAGGAGGGCTACAAGAGCGTGACGACGGAACAACTGGTTCAAAATGGGAAGATGCAGAAACGCGGGGGGTTGACTTAAACTAAAGGGGGATGGAATAGATAGTCATACGTGGGAGAGCAAGAGCTTTAAGAGCGAGCCGCGCGTGCGACATGGTTTGCATGAATGCCTACGCGAAGCTCGAATCTCCGAAATCTATAAATGACGGAGTAAGATCGAAACACGCGCACGCGAACACAAGAACAAAAGTGCACAAACACAAGCACCAGCCTTCGCTATTGCTGACCACACCTACTGACGTCCATCCAGCAGGACAAGCAGGAACAATTTAGGGTTAACGGATCACTGGCTGCGTAGTGGACTTGGGTGCTACGCCCGTCCACTAAAATGTTGGGTACTCTCTCGTCAACAGGTGAAGTATCAAGGCTGTTGATTTTCCTCAGGGTGAGGCGAGGTGAACACCAGCCGCACACATCTCACCCACATGTTTCGTACTGTGCTTGGCTCCAGCCTTGTCGTCTCCCTCCCCACCCCACCCCACCACACCACCACCACCCTAGAAGTTGGTTTGCTCTCCCCTTGGTTCTGGTTTGTCTGCGAGTTTGTGACCACACCTTGAACGTGGTGTGAGGGCAGGTCGGGAAAGGAAAGGGGGAAGGAAGAGAACGACGGGGGGAAGGGGGAGGGAGGTTGGGGGAAGTGGGGACGGGCCTACTCCAGGCTTCTATCCAAACCAAACCAGACCAGGTCTGGTGCAAGTGGGGGGCAATGTGGCAGGTTTGGCATCATATGAGCTGCGGTGGAGGGTCTGTACGTGGCCATTCTGCCGCATCAACCTCCCCACTATACTGCCACCAGCACCTCTTCCCTCCCCACTTCCCCGCTCCCTTCTCCCCTCACCCACCCCTCACCCAACCTTCCCCCTTCATCGGACGTATCGAGGACCTTGTTTGGCTCCTGCTCGAGGGAAACGACAGCTGAATTGTCAAAGGCTGTGATGTTACAGGGTGTTTTACTGTTTCTGAACTAGACCGCGGCATCAATCACACTAGAAAATCATAGTATTAGGTAGAATCACGAAGGTGTTTTACTGTTTCTTTTTAATTGTGTGTTACTTTCTGTTTCCCATTTTTCTGGGAAATTTCTCTTGATTTTTCAAGGCACCAGCTATACTTATCCTCCTCTGGGGACGAACAATGAAGTACTGATGTGCTGCTGTTGTATGATTATGTGCGAGACTAGTTATTTGTGGGATATCATGTTGCATTTAACACTAAAACTTAATGTAGAGCAACAGTGATAGCATGTTCTCAAATGCTTTTACGATGGATAGGAGGGGAGTTGTTACGGGTGCAATGGAACGAGATAGTGAGGGTTGCACTAGGTTGGCAAACGAGTACAAAGTACGAGCGAAGGCATGAGTGAGTACTGGTGTGCAAACATGCAAACGGTAACGCGGTGCGTGCGAGCTAGCTAGTGCTAGGCTGGCATCGAGGTCCGGGCTAGTCCCGAAGCGTAGGCTGATACGGCCGGGTGACGAATAGTGCGCGCGAATGTTGGAAACGCCCTGCTAGTGAACAACTGCTGTTGCAGTACGCAATGTTGCTACGCGGTAAGGAATGCCGAAAAAATCCTTACAGGAGTAGCCAATCGTTCAGGAAGTAGAGTTATCCAGGATAGTGTCTTGTTGTGGAAGCATCTTCTGGCATTCCTGTTTTTTAGCTACTACACATTCTGGCGTTGTCGGGGCGCGCTTTTTCAGCAATCAATATAATTTTAGTCTCTCATTTAATAAGAGGTTGGTTGAATGGCCTGCTGGAGCACCATGTTGGTTTCGTGGATCCTTGGGAACAGGTTTAAGTTGGCCTTGGGATCATGGCGATATTTCTTTCGTAGACAGCAGTCCGCTAGGTTAGTTTTTCAGTGGTCAGAGTTCATGGTTCTCAACTGGCGCGCCGCGTGCTGGGCATGGATGATTGACTTGCTAGCTACCACGGAAACGTAAGATGTCTGCATTTGTATATGCATCAATTACATGCTCAGCATCCTAACTATGTTAAAATCTCAAGCAATCTTGAGAGGCAAACTAATAGTATCATCAAACGACCTAGACATGTCATTGAAATCTCAATATGCCTGCTTACGAGCGGGATAAATGAATCGCCGCGACTCCGCAACCTGCGCCCGCACCTTCGTCTTACTGCTGTCCCAATCGACCTTCCCTGTCACCACCCAATGCGCTCCCCACGAGTGCCGCGCGGCTTCCCAATCAGACCCCCCCGCCCGCTTCACCCATACGCCCGTGATGGCTCCAACCCCGGGCACATCGTAAACGGTTATGTCGTGCCAGTAGGGATTGCCCTTTACCGTGTACTTCGGCGCGGTTTTCGGGCAGCGCGTTCTCCGCCACATTACGTTCACAATGCCCGAGTCCGGGTCCGCGATCTTCTCGAATCCCGTGCGGTGGAAGTCGAAGTGGTTGTTCGGCCAGCCCTCAGACCGCGGCGTGTCGAAGTTTGTTATCGTCACCATCACCGCTTTCTTGCGTCGGCAGAAGACCTTTCCGGCGTACCGCGGCTTCGAAAGGCATTTCACCATGAAGCACTGCCCGCACGCCGCGCCCTTGAAGTTGCCGATGCCGGAAGTGAGTGTGTTGGACCAGCGCGGATCCGGCACCGCGACTTGCGTGCGGTTGTTCACGAAGCTGTATGGATACCCGCAATTCCCAGAGTTGCCTACGAGCATGTCGTTTCCGTAAAACGTGGCACTGCCAAAGTGCCAGCTTTTGTCTTTAATCGGCGCGTCCTGTGTTGGCAAGCTGTCGAACTTGTACTGCGCGGAGGCGCGTAGGGTGGAGGAGACGAACATCTGGAGCAAGAAGAGAGCTCCTACACGGAATTGGGATAGAGAATAGCATTTTGATTGCAGTGGCGTCATAATGGCTGGGAGGATATGCAACTTGGCTTTGTCGTCCTGAAAACTAGTACGGTTATGAACTGAATCGCGGAGTCACTGCAAGTGGTGCGAGGAGCACTGGTGTTCAAAAGCTTCAACGAAGAGTTGAAGTAGAACCGAGGTGGATCAGCTGTCTTCAGCTGAATGTTTGGTGTCGAGCTGAATTTGAATGGTGGTGCAGAGACCCATGGGAGGGGGACGAGGGCGAGCAAAGGAGGTGGCGAATGTGTTGAGAAATTCCCAACATTGTGGCCCTCTAATGCGACTCGTGCCTGCGAAAAAATTGGTTGATGCGATGCGAATGCGATGCCCGCCGTCTCCCAAATTTTGTTAGCAAACGTGGAAAGGTACCCGCCCAACAATTCGTCTGGCCGCTCGCTGTGTTTGGCACCTCGTCGTTTCGCCAAGGCGAATCGCAAATGAAACATTCGGCTTGTGTGTCACTCGGCCTTCGCAAATAAGCGAAGCCAATCCGTTCAAAATCGCGACGCCTTTCCGACAGTTTTTTTCTCCTCATTGCCGTTTTGTGTCAGCATACAGACGGACGCTGCAAAGGTGGCAAGAGGCGGCAACGGTCTGTTTGTACGAGAACCAAACACTTGGTGGGAGAAAAAAATATTGAGTGCCCGCCTGAGACCGTGAGGGACTGCTGTGCGCCAACGCGTATGGATGGGTACCGAACGGCCGAGTGGGGCTGGAGGTGCTGCGTAAAGGGTTAAAAAGTTGTACAGTTAACACTTTCATTGGAAACATTACTAAGGATGCTTTTCAGTTGCTATGAGGTTAGGTTCACGCTACAACGAGTACGGTACAGCCCCAGCTTTATCCAACAGTACGATTACCGTACTCGTCAGCACTGACGCCAACATCCACCTGGCTGGCTCCTGCCCGAGATATGCAGAACACTAGGGATTTGAAATAGCACATCACAAAAAGGGGTGATAAAGTGTGGACCTAATGTTACTATCAGACTACTTGTACATGCTATATGCCTGCCGTCTAATCTGCTAGCTTATGCTACGCTACTCCTATACCACCTCTGCACTTGCTCCTGGTAAATCAGTAAGCTCATCCCGCTCGTCTGCTATACATCTATACATCCTGCGGGGCAGACTCCTTCACAAGTGGTGTAAGTGATCGGACCACAATGCTCATGCTAGGACGAAAGTCACCATCATATTGCACACACAAGGCAGCTAGGGCCGCAAACTGCACAAGGGGGAATGACCAAGGGGTATACAGGGAGAAAAACAAAGAATGCGATTCAGGGAGTGGGGGTGACAGCAGGCAAGAGGCTTGTGAATGGGCACAACACACCTTTTGACCCTTGGAAAAGACAGGCCTTCCAAGCAGCAGTGGCTTCTCAGAAAGACTAAATTGATCCACAGGCATTTCCCACCAACAAACCTTGGCTACGGATTTTTCTGGGAAATTGCCTTTAAGCTTGGGGTCCACACATGACTTGACTCTATCCTCTGCCAATCGCCCTTGCGTTGCCTGCACACGTGCACAACCATGCCATCCGGCAGGTCACACCATGCCATCCGATACCCACCATGCCATCCGATTCACACCATGCCACCCAATTCACACATGCCACCCGATTCACACCATGTAGAAAATCCCATGCAAACTTGTATTTTTATGGAAAACAGCAAAAAAAACGAGAAATCATTTAGATAACCCCCCACCATGCCCCCCCACCAAGAAGGGGAGGGAGGGCAGTACAGAGGAGATGGGAAGAGGGGGCGTTGTCAAGTACACTCAGGCATATATCCACACACACGAGCTTGCACCCAGACAATCACACATCGACCAACCCACCCACCCACACACGCACCCATGTGACGAGCGACTGTTGGCCTCGGGGCATGTTGGGGTCCACTGGCTTGCGGCCTGTGAGGAGCTCCAGTAGCACCACTCCAAAGCTGTACACGTCGCTCTTCTGCGTTAGCCGACCCAGCGTGGCATACCTGCCAGGACCAACGGATGGGTGGAAGCGTGAGGAGCAAGAGGGGTGAGAGCGAGAGGAGGGGAGAGGTACTAGACGTGAGCAACAGCAGTGTGTTGGGTACCCTGGGATTGGATCAAGTAGGGAGTGGGAAGAGTAATAGGAATTTTAGACTAGGAGCTTCGGACTGGAGTTTGATTTACCCATGCAATCGGCATGCAGCTACGGTACTCACTCGGGTGCGTTGTATCCGAACGTGCCAAGCACACGGGTTGACACCATGCGTGACCCTTGATCCGGGGCCTCGTTTGCCACATTGAAATCCGCAATCTTGCCCTCAAACCCCTCAAACACGAGCACGTTGGCAGACTTGACGGATTTGTGCACGAGAGATGGGTTGGCCTTCTCGTGTAGGTACTCCAGGCCCTTGGCTGCTCCCAGGGCTATTTTGACTCGCTGGTGCCATGTTAGGGTTATGGGCGGGTCCTCTGTCTTGCGCGGTACCTTGCGGCCTGGGAGCATAGGCAGCGAGGGAGACAGCGGGCGGGAGGGAGGGAGGGAGGGTGAGTGTTCTGAGGGAGGGAGATGCTGAGGGGCGGCAGGAGGTTATTTTTACGGGGAGAGATGGAGGGAGGGAGGGAGGGAGGGAGGGAGGGAGGGGAGGGAGGGAGGGAGGGAGGGAGGGAGGGAGGGAGGGAGGGAGGGAGGGAGGGAGGGAGGGAGGGAGGGAGGGAGGGAGGGAGGGAGGGAGGGAGGGAGGAGGGAGGTAGGGAGGGAGGGAGGAGGGAGGGAGGGAAGGAGGAGGGAGGGGGGGGAGTGAGGGCGGGAGGGGCGGAATAGAAAGGCTGAATTGAGTACGAGAACAGGTGAAGAGCCGGGCCTGCTGGAGTCCCAGTCCATTGGCTTCCACGCAATCTGCAAATTCCGAGTGGACACCACCTACATGCCATGTCCTTGCGTGGCCGTGACTGTTACAACGGTTATCGTAGTGTAGGTGTGTTCGCATGCTTGTAAGCCCTTCTACCCTCCCACCCCCTCTCCTTCCCCCCCTCTCTCCCCCCCTTTTCCCCCTTCTTTCCCTCCTCCCTTCTACCTCGCCCCTCCCGCATGGCGCAATACATGCTTTGAATTGACCGGAAAGCCACGCCACGCCACGCACCGTGCAGTATGTCGTGCACGCTGCCGTGGGTGGCGTACTCGAAAGCCAGAGCGCGCTGAGCGCCGTCCGCGCAAAATGCGATCATCTGCGTCACATTCGCGTGCTGTAGCTGGCTCACCATCGCCACCTGCGCGTGTGAGGGGTGAGGGGCGAGGGGGTAGGTGTGGCGGGGTGCGGTGAGGTGTGAGGAGTGGTGGGGTTCGGTGGGGGGTGAGGAGTGAGGGGAAGCTGTCACGCGATCATGAACGGGGTTGGACGCGGGGATGCGCAAGGGGACGCGCAAGAAGATGTGCAAGGCGATGGGGAAGGGGATGCGCGCAACGGGACGCGCAAGGGGACGCGCAAGGGGATGGACAAGCGGCTGCGAAATTGTGCAAAGGACCAGATTCCAACCACCCTCTCCCCCCCCCCTCCCCCCTATACCCCTCTCCCCCCCCTCCCCTTTTCCTCCTCTTCTCTTCAACCCCATCTCCTCCACCTCCAACCCTCCCACAAACCCCCCACAACCACCCACCCCCCCCTTCCCCCTCCCCACCCTCCCCCCCTCTCCCCAATTCCCCCCGGCAAACGCACCCCTTCGAGGGCTGCGAGCTCGCTTCGAGCTTTTTCACGGCCACTGTGACCCTTTGAGACGTTTCAAAACTCTTCCCCCCCCCCAACCCCCAAACGCACCCCTTCGAGGAACTCGTTGTCGGGCTGCGAGCTCGCTTCGAGCTTTTTCACGGCCACGGTTCGGCCGTTGAGCGAGCCCTGGTACACGCGCCCAAACGACCCCTCCCCTAGCATGTTGCCCGGCGCGAAGTTGCCCGTCGCCTCCTTGAAATCGTCTATGGACTGCCGCGGCACGGCTATTTGCGACGACCGCTGCGGGCCCGACGCGATCGCGGGTTGCGATTGTGGCTGAAAGGCGGGGATGGCTGCGCGCGAGGCGGAGGTTGGAACGGGAGCGCGGGTGCAGAAGGGAGAGGGGGAGTGGGGAAGAGGGAAGGAAAGGGGAGACGAGGGTGGCTGAGTAATTAGAAGAAAGGTAAATGGGAGAAAGGAGAGTTGAAAACGCAGACAGCGGAGAGCAACAAGTGGATGGAAGGGTGGGTGGGGGGGAAGGCTTCTGCGGTCATACAGAAGCAGTATCGTTAGGGAGCCATGAACAGCAAAACCTGAGCTGATTGGAGCACCAGAATCCAGAACCGCATACAGTTGAATTTCTGAGTCGAATCGAGTCGGAAATTCACCTGACGCTGCTACGGAAGCCCAAACGTACCTGCAGAACGTACCTACAGAACGTACCTGCAGAACGTACCTAAAAAACGTACCTGCAGAACGTACCTGCAGAACGTACCTGCAGAACGTACCTGCAAAAACGTACATGCAAAAACGTACATGCAGAGCATACCTGCGCCAGGATCGGGAACATCATCGTCGAACGCGAGGCACGAGCACGAGCTTCCCATAACGAACCAGCAGCGCCGACGATCAGGCTATGCAGGATTTCGCAAGCGAGAAGTACTGAGCGTCGCTTGTTTTCACGCGCCTCGGAACGTGAGCGCGGGTAGGTATTGCCTTCACCAGCACAACCTACGGGCAGCTGGGGGATACTTGAGACGTGGTCGATACTGAAGAGGTGGAGGATATTAAAGCGGTGGACGATTAAGAAGGTGAGATCTCGAGTCGCCTCTAACCGTGAAGGCTACCGTTCACCCTGCTTTATCCTGGCAACGCGTGTTACTTGACCAAGAATGACTCAGCAAAACCGTTCCCAGGCACGTCAGAGCTCCAATAGCGTAGAATTGGTACGCGGGGAGAAAATTTTGTCACTCAAGAAGCAGAAGGCACGCAAATAGCTAGTAGCAATCGGCTCTTCTGGATGCTGGAATCAGAAAGGCAGAAGAAGCAAATGAGTAAGGGGGTGTCCAGTTCGTTCATTTCGGGGTTTTTAGTGCCAACACACGTCTCGAGGTTCAAAAATATTCACTGTACCTAAAAACGAATGCATTGTGAGTTGAGTCCCACCTACCTGTAATTTCAGGAGCGCGGACACGTTCTCCGCCACACGAATCAACAGTGCTCTGATCGCGTTCAAAACGAGGTAACTGTTTCCGTCGTCAATCATAGCTAACGAATTTTTCGGCAGGCGGGGGGTGTGTTGACGAGTGTAGCGAGCTACTGGCGAAATTGTGCAAGCGATACAGGGGGCGCTACTGTAGTGGCCAGGACGCGGTGCTGTACCCTTGTTCGTGTCCCCGCTGATTCCAGTAACGTGAGTCAGACGACATGAGGTACGTGCAGGGGGCGTGCCGTTTTGTGAACGAAAGCTGATTGTGTCCGCAGGACACGTTCAATACAGTGTTACAACAAAAAAAGTGGTAACTGATCGGGCTTACGAACAGTAAATGTACGAGCTGGACACCTCCTAACAGAGCGAGTCTGGTGGTGAGGTGTGGTGTGGTCATGGGGGGAGCGAGGGGAGAAGTCCTTCATATGTATCCTAGGGGGTGTCGAGGGTGGTGTGGAGTTTGGAAGGTTTCAGTAGGATGTTGCTGGGTCAAGTTGGCTCGGGTGAGGTTGGAGCAGCAGGATGCAGTTTTGTGGCTGACTGCTACTGATTATTTTTGCCTGACGTATGACGCTACAACACCAAGGCGCCGGCTCGGCTTTGCTCCTCCAAACCAAGCCTCGTATTCTTTTAAACTGTACATTTCCATCTCTTTTCACCCGTTCCAAACCGAACCAGCGGGTTCGCCGCTTCCCAAACCATACATGGTACCGTTTCCCACGAATCGTCTCGAACGCTCGCGCTCGGCTTGTCTCTTCCAGACCAGAATCCACATCGCTTAGGCAGCCTCGGTTGGCTGGCTTGGGCCAGTGGAAGCTGGTGGTGTTGCGCTCGCCACCAACTGCACGTTGATGCATTCACAGTGTTTGACAATAATTCATGTTTTCTTGTAAAACTATCACTGTACATGCATTACCCTCGAAACTAAACCCCCTACTATCAAGATATAAAAGCACCCGAATCATGCGGAGCATAGATACCTCCCCTATCCCACATACGGTAAATGCCTGCCACCAAGGCAGCTTTTAATTGCAGCTCTCAAGACTCCATGGCACCCACACCCCTACATTCAGTCCACGTGCTATGGCTTCTGTCGGTCATGTGATTGCCTCAGTACCCAGACCAAGCATCACAACGCTCCCCATCACACCCCCCCCAAGAAACTGCACCAGCTCCATTGCAGCTTTCTTCTGTTCCCCATGCTTCCATAGCCACCAACAGCCTTATTACAAACAGCCTTTTTTAAATGATTTCCCATGCACCTGCCCCTCCCTTCCCCATCCCCTCCCCCATACATTTCGTCACCATCACCCCATTTTCCCACTCCAAACAGAATCCTCCCCTCGGACGTAAACTCCTTTCCCCATTCTCGTTACATAGCCCCACTTGCTCTTACACTACCTACTACAGCTCTAACAGCAGCTAGATCCGTTACCCACTCCCTCTCAACCACCTCGCAGACTCTCATAGATAACCCAGCAGGTGAACAACAGGTCCAACACCAACACCCATCCCCTCTCCCTCCCACCCCACAACCCCCCTTCCCCCCCCAACCCCCTCCCTCCCCACCCCAGTCTGTCTGTGCACTTGAACAATACTGAATTCCACTTAGACACTAAAACCCCACCCCACCCTTTCCCTCCCTCCTCCTGTGTTTCAAGAGCCTCCCACCCCATCCCCCTCCCTCCTCGCCTCTGCCGTCCAGCAACACTGCCCTCACCTAAGCTCGCCCGTGAGCCCCCTGTCCCGGATCTCGCCAGCCTGCATGGGCGGGCGCTTGTCAAACGTCTGCGAGTACGACCCATTGAAGGACCCCGAGTGGCGGAAGCTCTGCGAGTTGGCCGACGCATAGCCACGCAGCAGATCCAGCAGGGCTTTTGCCTGGAAGGGGAGAGTGGGTGGGGCGGGGGTGGGGGTGGGGGTGGGGGTTGGGGTCGGGGTGGGTTGGAGGTGATGAGATGGATGGGAGAAAGTGCACGTTGTTCTCTGTGTAGCCATGGAGCGAATAATCAGGGGTTTTGGATGAGGGAGGAGGTCAGGAGGGAAGGGAGAGTAGGGACATGTGGTGAAAGGAAGAGGTGTTGGAGCAGCGGGCGAGAAAGCTAATATATTGCTTTTGGAACTGCATTGACAAGGTTGAAAACTCAATAAGTGAGGGAGGGAAACGCATGGAGAGATTGTGGAGGGGGGAACATGAGCGGAAGTGAAGGTGGGGAGACAAAGCCGATTCAAGCACACAGCCATGCAACATGTGGAAGCACGAAACCATGGGAACACGGCAACTCGAGACCTTAGAGCCATTTCGCAAAGCAAAAGGCTTCACATGAAAGCAAAAAGAGCAAGAGAGAGAGAGAGAGAGAGAGAGAGAGAGAGAGAGAGAGAGAGAGAGAGAGAGAGAGAGAGAAACACTCTGCTATCAATGATCCCAGGCGAGCAAAAACCGGGTTTGTGAGTCAACATGAGGCATCGAGAAAATGACAATAACACAAGAGCGGGTTGTTCCAGGGAGGATCGGCTAGACAATGTTGACCAGAGCAGATTGGAGCATGACGGATAAAATGGTAAGAGGGCAAACCCAGTTAGGCCTCTGCTTGCCATTCACTTCGTGGTCCCTCGGGAAGAAATAAAGGGAAACTAGCCCAAGCATTTACAAAAGTCGTTTTTTTTTCTCTCTCGCTCCCTCGTATCGTCCGCTTCATCCTAACCACCACTTCTGTCACCGCACACCTTCCCAGTGGTCCCTTCACGTCATTCCAGTCGCCCCACCACGCACAACGCCCTATCAACAACAGCATCCGCTCGCCCCATCCACCCCAGCACCTTAGCATTGCCTCGTCCCTAGAGTGTGTTTCTCAAAAGGCGCCTCCGCTTAAAAGCGTCCAGTTTTGAGGCGCCTCACAAACAGGCCCTTCCCACCATCCAACGCTCCCTGGCCTAGCCTCGGTCAAAATATATTACTTGAAGCGCATATTTTTATTAAGCATCTACTTTTAGGGCCGTCCTATCCATCCGTCCCACATATCAAATCGCGCTTCCGCTTTCAATCGTCTGATTCGAGGGGCTTGCCAAATAGGCCCGTCCCATCCATCCACCCAACGGCAACGCACCTTGCCCTTGCCTCGCCCAGAGCCCGACTGCGCGAGCTTCACCGGCGCGGGCATGGCTCCCTCCTCCAGCAGCAGCTGGAACGTTTGAATCGACTCAAATCACAGCTAGACTCAAATCACAGCTAGACTAAAAACACAACTGGATACAATCTCACAACGCACCTTGGCCTTGCCGCGCCCGGAGCCCGACTGCGCGAGCTTGACCAGCGCGGGCATGGCTCCCTCCTCCAGCAGCAGCTGGAACGACGCCTCGCTGTTCGTCGCCAGCAGGTGCAGCGCCACCGCCGCGTCCTCCTTCGCGCGCGACGACCCGCCGTCGATCACGTCAACCATGGCGGCGATGCCGCCCTCCGTGTGCACCGACTGCCGTCCCTCCGCCGATTTGCACAGATTCGCAATCACGGCCATGACCTTGTCCTCCATTCCGGGCTCCGCGTCCGTTAAGAGCTGCACCAGGACTTTCACGGTCCCCGCAGCGATTATATCGCGTACGCACGAGGACTCCAGGGAGAGATTGAAGAGCGCGAGCGACGCGTCCTTTTTCCCGCGCAGGCTGCCGGTTTGCAGCAGGGTGATTAAGAACGGGATCGCTCCCGCGTCGCGCACCTTGCACTTGTTCTCCATGGGTCCCGACAGCGAGAACAGCGCTGCGGCTGCGTTTTCCCGAGCCGCGGGCGACCCGGTGCCGAGAACTGGCACGATGGCCTCTATTCCGCCGGCGGAGGTAATCAGCGGTTCGACGCCTTCCGTTAAAGACATGTTGAGCAGCGACGTGACGGCGTGCTCCACGGTGGCGGGATCGCTGGACGGGAGAAGCGCGATGAGCGCGTCGATCCCGCCGGCGGCGAGCAGCCTCGCCTTGTTCTCCGGGTTGTTTTTTAGCGACGAGCGGATGGTAGCGACGGCCTCGCGCTTCTTGTCGACGTCGACGGCTTCGTCCGTGAGCGTGTCGACGAGAGGGTCCATGTCGACGCGTGTCCGGTTGGGTAACGGCGAAACGCTCCGGTCCATTTGGCGGCGAGAGTTGGAGCCGGAGCGGGAGAAGGAGGAGGTGGGAGGTAAGCCCATCGAGCCCATGGTGCTAGCGGACGAAGTTGTTTCTGTCCCTGATGCTGCTGCTGCTGCTGCTGCTGCTGCTGCTGCTGCTGCTGCTGCTGCTGCTGCAGCAGAACGGATAGCCTAACACAAGCGTTAGACGGGTGCTGCAATTCCAGCGTGATTACTAGGTCCGCGAGACGAACTTACACCTATTCGCAATTTGTGGAGTAATTGGAGAAACAAGAGAAAGGAGCCTAGAACTTTCAGAACTTGACGGAACGAGGTGGACTACGTCAGTTAAGTTAGTCAAAAGGGCGACGAAGTAACTACCACCACCTATACCGAATGATAAGTATCTAGTATCAGGAACGCTGAACTCGTGCGCCGACGAGGATAAATGCTTTAGAGAGAGGCTCTTCTGAACGTTGAAGCTGCTACTACGGAAATGCGACAGTCACGGAACTCCAAGGAGGAGCGGTGGAGCTCCATACCAAGGCTTCCAGACGAAGAATTGCGTCAACTGCGGGTTAGGCAGTGCGGCTGGGGGTCAGTACTGACAGTCGTGAATACAAGGAGCTGGACTGGTGAGTCTAGATGCACAGCAAAGCCAGAACAGAAAGAGGAAGAAGCAGGTGGGGGAATAGTTGATGCTGGTTTGTGGTTTGTGTTGCTGGACAATGGAAGACAGAGAGAGGGAAGAGTGTGGCAGGTTCGATATGCTTGTTGGTTCGCAGGGAGGTCCGGTCCGGAGCGAGGCAGCTGGTTCGAGAAGGTCTCGGGAAACGCTGTGGTTGGTATGGGCAACGGGGTGAAGGTAAGGTAAAGGTGGGGGGTGAGCCCCCGTTGGTATGGACAACGGAGGGTGGAGGTAAGGCATGAATACTGTATATAGGTGGGATGGGAGGAGTTCCGTCTCGGAAAGAGGCTCCTTCGTCCTGCTCCAACTAGCACAGCGCACTGAGATGGGATGGGAGAATCTGGGAAAGGTTAGGAGGAGTGTGCCGTGGAATATTGATACATCCTGATTGGCTTACAATGGCTCGGCTCGGATTTGCTGGTGTACATTGTGGGGACACTGGCACGGTGAGTTCGCATGGTGCTCCAAATTGTCCTAAGTCCCACCAGTAATGCCACTGTTGAAAATCTATCAAGTGCGTCCACTCTTCCCACCTTTTTCGTCCAAGCAACCCCCAAAAATGAGCTCCAGAAGGCTTCGGGATATTATATTTTTTTTTTAAGGGCAGAACCCGAATTGCTCAACGGAAGTCAACGCTGGAAAATAGGTTTGGGAAAGCAGCGAAAATAGGTTCGGAAACCTCCCATAAACCCTGCTATCCCGAAACCAGCAGGAGTGCTTCACAAACTGGCCCCAGTTTGTGAAGGCTTCTTTGTAATTCGGGGGCTGGGCTTTAAGAGGGGAAAGGAATTGGGAGGGGGTTTGCAAAAGGAGGTACTTGCAAAAGCTTTGGCTCGGAACTTCCGAACCGACCACGTCCATACTTCCGGTTCACCAACCTTACAAAACAGGCGATTTGCGCAACAAAAATCCCAAGCAGCATCCGACAAACGGGCTGAACTCCCCCAATCCAAGCCGTACGTATGAACGGAACAGAAACAGCTGCACCAAGCACATGAACGAAGCGCGCGCAGCCCAGCAGTTTGCCGGAACAGTCCAGAGCTGTAATTGGTGTTGGGAAACGAGCCGTTAGACACGTGAAGCACCAACAGACGCGCCACGGTAAGAGTTGGTGCACAGAAGACAAGGTGCATTGATTTATTCCATGACAAACTGAGTGTGTTTAGCATGCACAATCATGTTCTACGTTGATGTAAGTAACATCAATTCTCTTACTTCTCTCCTTTCTTTGTTGTCTTTGTTTTCTTTTCTTACACCAAACGGTGGCATTTCCTCTTCTATTACAACTCACCATTGTGCAAAAAAATATTTGTATGTTCTTAGTTCTGCTAAGCTACAGTGAGATGCTCAGTATAGGGTACAACCACAGTTAGGGTTTCATACTTGTACCTCTTCTTTGCTAGTCATTCATCATTCCCGCCTTCCTATTTTAACACATTTTCTGTCCCTCCTGCCTTCCTCACATTGTATCTTGCTTTGCCACGTTAGCGTTATCCTCTTTCGTTCAATTACTAAGATGTCTTCACCGTCCACACAACCTGGTATCGGAGAACGTACTCCGTTTATATCAGTGGACATGAAGCGTCATACGTACAAAAGAATGACACCGAATGTTTACATCTCAGTCTACATCCATGCAATCTTTTCACCTCAATCTGTACAACCATTTTGTACAACAGAATGACATTATGACACCAAATGTTTTCTAACACCAGCCAAAATGGTTCAGATAGACCAGCCCAGATGGCTTCAGTGAAGGGCCAGCACATCCACAGGGAAACCAGCATCTCAAAAGCTCCCACAATTCTCAATGCACCTTGTCCTCAACGTACGGTAGTACAGCTGCTTTGTAATTGCAACTTGCTACTGTCGAGTGTATCGGCTGCGGTGATCTAAAGGTGGAGCCAAAACCCCCTGTGCTGCCAGGACCTGCATGGGCAGCGCGCCGAGCTGCTGCCGAAACTGAATCGACTGCTGCACTGGAACTGACTGCTGCAGATGCATGGAAAACGGCAACTGCTGCCCGTACCGTGCTATCTGCTGCTGCTGCCCCTGCTGGAGTGCTTGTTGCGGAGTGAGATATCCGCCTTCTGGCCGTGCCGCAACGACATGTTGCTGCAGCAGCACCGCACCTGCTGGCAGGTTGTGAGGGATCGCATAGGATCTTGCAGCTATGTGACCAACAGGCTCGTGAGGAGCGTGAGGTGCTGTTACTAAAGGACGGAAATGGTCGTGAGAAGGTGCTTGTCGCATTGCCCATGCGCCTTGTAGGGGTGCAGCAGAGGCAGCAGCAGGCACATGGTGGTTGTCGCTCCGGTGCATGTTGGCCGAGCGATGGAAATCTGTAAAACAGGAATGGTGGGACAGTGGGATTGGTTAACCGTGTGCATGGTAGAGGGGAAACACATCTATACAATTAGAGAAACAGAAATATAAAGAGAGATAAAAAGAAAGAGCGAGGGAGAGAGAAAGCGGAAAAAGGGGGGGAAGGAGGGGGGAGGGGTGGGGAGGGGTGGGGAGGGGAAGAGGGAAGTTGGAGAGGGTGGCGCGAGAGAATAACAGAACAACAGTGCTCCACAATGGAAGACAAAGGCGGAAACGGGCAGGCACACGGTCACCGCACAAGTACGCACACGGTCACCGCTCAGGCAATCACGCACACGGTCACCGCACCTGAAGTGCGAGCCACCTTCCGTCCCGTAGTTTCCCTCGTCACAAAGTCAGACACAGGCCGCGTCCTCCAATCCTCCTCCTCCTCCTCCACCACACCCCTCCACCTATCCCCCACACCTCGCTCCTCCGGTGCACCTGCTCCAATTCCCCTCTCCCCACCATTCCACCGATCCTCGTCCCATCTGCCTTGCCTCCCTCCCACTTGCATTCCACCCCCTCTTCCAACAGATCGATCCCCATTCCATCCCAGCCCTTTATCACCACCATCGTCACTCCATTCCCTCCCTCGCTTCTGATCTCTCCGCCTGCCCTCCCTCCCCTCCCTCCCCTCCCTCCCCTCCCTCCCCTCCCTCCCCTCCCTCCCCTCCCTCCCCTCCCTCCCCTCCCTCCCCTCCCTCCCCTCCCTCCCCTCCCTCCCCTCCCTCCCCTCCCTCTCCCCCCTCTCATCCCACCCCCGGTCCCTTCCCCGCCTGCTCACCCCTCCCCAATTCCTCTCATCCTTACCCGAATCCTCCAAAACAACCGGGGAGAATCCGAAGAGGAGGTCGACGAGAGAGGAGGCGGAGGAGAGGGAGGGGGGCGGGCACGGGACGTCCATGACAGCCTGGGCAGCGCGGGAGAAGGCGGCTGAGATGATGGTGAACTCCTTGGGGCGCACGGTACGCGCACAGTTGGACGAGCGGTGGTAAAAGTCCTCTATCTGGTGTGGGGGGCAAACAGTAGTGTCCCATGTGGGGAGATGGGATAAGGGAGTGAAGAGAAGTAGGGAGGGGAGGTGTGCCGAGTGGGGAGACGGGAGAGGGGAGAAGGGGGGGAGAAGGTGGAATATGGAATTTTACAGCGTGGTGTGAGAAGGTGAAGGGCGTGTGAGAAAGCAGAAAGGCGTTGCCGGGAAAAGATGGGTTGGGGCCAGGGAGAAGGGGGAGAAGGATGGGGCGAGGCGGGAGAGGGGGAAGAGAGAGAGCTCCTACCTATCTCGACTCGACACTTCGAAGCACACATGCAGAGCAGATGCAGAAGGCATGCTTCCACTCCACATTGCAATGCACCGCACCCATGACAGTATCAGAAGAGAAGCTGAGCAGATAAAGCTAATGGGCCTGGGAAGGCACTCACAGCCATGACAGTAACATGATTCTCCTGAGGGAAGTCCCGCGGTATCCATTTGCCCTCGTACACACTCGCACATAGCATGTGCTCCCAGAGGTCCTCCTGTGCTGCCATCTGGGAGCATAAAAACCGCAAGACAAGAGATGACCCATGAGGCGTTTTAACAGTCTGCCACATAGCATGTGCAATTTGCGCCCAGAGGTCCTCCCGTGCTGAAGTTTTGCGATGAGTTGTGGCACAACAGTGAGGAAAGCGAGGAGGATAATAAGGAGGACATGCATGAGCCCAGGCAGGGTTAGGGAACATGGGGAACACGCGCAGTAAGCACAGAATCACATGCGGGACACACGGGAGTACACACACACAGGGAACAGGAGGAGAAGACTGGGAGAGAGAGAGAGAAAAAGGCCATCAACTCCTTCTGCTAAGATCATTCTCCTCTCCACTGCTTCGAAAACTGCAGGAGAACCTGCTAGGAGAACCCCACTTGCACTGAGAGCACCATCACACCCAGGCTCTAACCCACAGCAACCTGAACAAAGAAGGAAGCTAGCAGGTGCGGCAGAAACTCCGTGTTTCTCTTTCCATAGCCCTGCTCCGCCATCTGTGCTGCCCTGCTCTCCGCATGTGCCAACCTATCCACCACCACCCCCCGTCTAACCCCACAGCAACCTGAATGAAAAAGGAGGCCAGCAGGTGCGGCAGCGACTCCGTGTTCCTCTTGCCATAGCCCTGCTCTGCCAGTTGCGCTGCCCTGCTCTCCGCATGTGCCAGCCGATCCATTAGCTCCTGCTCTGGCAAGGGGACAGCGTCACGCCCACTGGCTGGGAATGGACAGGAGGGAGAGAGAAACGGCGGCAGAAGGAGTGGCGGTGGTTTTGGAGATGCCTCAATTGTCGTCTCAATGTTCTGAGGCGCCTCAGAAAATCACCAGTTGTCTCAATTGTCGTCTCAAATCACCAGTGTTTTGCTCTGGCAAGGGACGGCGTCATGACCGCTGGCTGGGGAGGGACAGGAGGGAGAGAGAGGACGGCAGAGCATGCAGCATGCAGCATGCAGCATGCCACACACACGCATGGGTGGCATGCATAGGGCAAGCAGGGAGGGACGATTTGATGTGCCCTGTGCGCACCAGGCGTGGTGGCTGGTTGATTGACCGTCCTAAGAGATCGGTTGATTTGATTCAACAAGAGGAGAGAGATTGCTGCCAAGGGGAGAAAGGGTAGTAGTGACGAGCAGAGCATGCAACGTTTGCGATGCAGAGGGCAGGAGAGGGGAGAGGGACGAAGAGAAGAGAAGAGGGAGGAGAGGAGTGGAGGAGAGATGAGAGGAGAGGAGGGTTATAAGACGTACTCAGAGGCTCTGGAAATTGGCCCATGAGGTCTTTAAAAGGCGGCAGGATTGGGGGAGAGCGAGTCTGAGGCGGTATGCGGGAGATACAGTGGGGAAAAAAGGGGGAGGGAGGAGAGGCCGGGAGAGAGAAGGGGGGAGATGGGTGAGGAGAGATACATGGGAAAGGAGGAGAACAGATGGGGAGGGGGGGTGGGGGTGGATGGACCGCTAACACATGCAGCGGGGGTGGGAGTGAGGGGAAGGACAGGGGGGGGGGGGGGAGGGGAGTCATGGGGAAAGAAGGGGGAAGATGAAGAACAAGAATGGAGAAGCAGGAAGTATGAACCAGAGAGGGGACGAGCAGAGAATGTAGAAGCGGAGCAGGAGCATGGAGTGAAGCTGCAGGTACACAACACATTGAGCTTGTGGGTGCATGTGCGAGAGCCACTAGGGTTGTGTACCTGCAGTTTCACTCCCTGCTCCTGCTCCTGCTCAGGCTGAAAGGACACAATACCTTATTATGCCTCTTTTTTCTTAGTTTCTTTCTGAATGTATGCTTGCACGGTTTGATTCTTGTCACCCTCAATGTGTGCGATGTGAGGAAGGGGGAGAGAAATCACCTTGCAAGCATACCTTCATTAAAAAACAGAAAAAAACAAACAAAACAAAAACAAAACAAAAAAAAACAAAAACAAACAAACAAACAAAGAGGCAGAATAAGGTATCATGTCCTGCATGTTAAATCATATCTCTTTCTTGCAACTCACACTACGACCTTGCTCGTGCTTCACTCACCTGGAGGTGCAGAGCGCAGAGAAGGATGAGCGCAAGGGAGTTGAGGGTGCCGTTGCGAGGGTCGTTGATGGCCTCGTTGCGTGCCCACGCCTTCACCTGCACGGAGGAGAGGGGAAGGCAGGATGGAGAGGAGGCAAGATGAAGAGGAGACAGAGAGGAGGCAGGACGGAGAGGAGGCAGGATGGAGAGGAGGCAAGATGGAGAGGAGGAAGAAACGAGATGTGGGAGAAGCGAGAGGAGGAGAGACGGTGTGTGACTTTCAAGTCAAACTGTGGGGTATGCAGAACTGGAGAGAGGGATGATGGCTGAGTGGCAGTCACGGTGGGTGGATGGGGGGGGAGCCAGCTTTGAACCACAAATATCGAATAAAATGAATGAGCTTCTAATAAAAATAAAAAAAAAACAGACTGAGGAACGCGTTGTCAGTAAGGGAGTAGAGGAGGGAGGTGGAGGAGTGGGGGGGACAGGTACACATACACGTCAGATGCAAAAAAGGTGGAGCATTCTAAAAAGAGGCTGACAGAGCATGCATGGAGAGATACAACGAGCATACGTACACAGATGTGCCAATCCAAGATGAGCGCAACTTGCGCATGAGCATGTGTATGCATGCATGCGTGCGTCTGAGTATATGTGTGCGTGCGTGTGTTCGTGCATGCATGTGTGAGTGAGGTGCGTGCAAGCATAGCATCTGCATGCGGTCGAGAGCACGCCCGTACAAGGAAGCAGAGGTGCTTGAATCGCGGGTCAATGGATCAATGGAGCCACACATAAGCACACACGACGTTTTGACAACAAGACTCTGCAAGCGGCTGAGATGAAAGCGTGAGTGCATACAAGGAAGCAGAGGTGTCTGAAGCGCGGGTCAATGGAGGAGACGAAGCGGATGAAGCGGGACTTGAAGAAGCCGTCGCGGTTGGCCACGGAGATATCGCACTCCACGAGTGAACGCGAGTGCACAAACTTCACCACCGGCACGATGGCCCGAAACACCACTTCCACTCGCTCCACCTGACCAGCTGCTTTCCGCAGGGGGAGGGGCGCAGAGGGAGAAGAGGGGAGGGGAGAATTATTTTAATCGCCTTAAGAATCGAGAGTGCACAAACTTCACCACCGGTACGATGGCCCGAAACACCACTTCCACCCTCTCCACCTGACCCGCTGCCTCCCGTAGGCCGGACGGGCGAAAGGGAAGGGAGAAGAAGGGGGGGAGGAGGGGGAGAAGGAGGGGGAGAAAGGGGGAAGGTGTTGGGAAGGAGGAAGGGGAAAAGGTGCTGGTGGGAGGGAGGAGGGGGGGTGGTGGAAAGGTCTTGGACGGGTGGAGGAGCGTGGGAGAGGAGGGAAGGTATTGTGTGTAACGGAGGACTCGTTCCACCCTGCACACGCCCGGCACACTCCCGGCAGTGCACAGGCCCCTCAACCACAATACCTCACTCCATTCATTTATTCACTGCAGCAGCCACCCAGCAAAGAATCATATGAGCCATCCCAGAGCTGAACGCATGAACGAATAAGCATTTGGTTCAACCCAAAAACCACCCCCAGCACCGTACGGTCTGTTCCGTTCCGTACCTCTTTCCATTCTCCGGATCACTGCAGCCACGCGGCGCAGCACAGCTATCTTGGCATCCCTCGTGCGCGGCTCGGCCATCATGCCCACAGCAAACGAGGGAGCGAGAGACGGCGGCGGAGAGACCTCCATTGACAGGTCGAGGTCTGATGTGTTGGATGACAGACCCATCTCATAGGAGCCGAAGGGAATCAGACGCCCGGCTGATGAAGGGGGGCATGGGAGGTAGACGGAAGGGAGGATGTGAGGAAGGCATTTTGAAGCGCCTCTAAAGAGACAGATCGAGGTTTGATGTGTTGGGCGACAGACCCATCTCGTATGAGCCGAAGGGAATCAGACGCCCGACTGGTTGGCGGGTGGTGGGCAGGAGATGGAAAGGGAGGATTGGAGGGAAGATGGAAGGGAGGTGTAGAAAGGAGATGAAAGGGAGGATCAGAGCAAGATTTATGTGTGCGTCAAAGTATCCTGTGCCGCCCAATCCAACCATTCTTGCCAAACGCTTTCGTGCTTCCTCCACTTCCTCTGGGTGAATTTCCAAGTCAAAGTCGAAAACGTAACTCGACCCACCCACCCGTCCTTACCTTACCAACGCCCCACCCACCCGTTCCGTAGTCCACCCACCCTTGCCGTCTTCCACCCATCCTCACCACGGAATTCGACGCGAATAGCTTGGGTGAGCACTGCAACAATGTCTGCCCGGGCGGCCATGGCAGGGGCGTCTGGCAGCAGGCGATTCAGCACCCCACCCACCACCTTTTCCAACGGCCCCTCCTGCTCCCGCTGCCACCGCCACCGCTGCACCATCTGCTGCTCGCGCTGCGCTGCAAACTGCGACACTGGGGGGGGCGGTCAGGGGGAGATGAAGGGGAAGCACGGGGGAGAGAACTGGAGAATGGGGGTTGGCGGGGGAGGTATGAGGACGGGAAGGGGGAGCAGAGGCGTAGGGGAAGGGGACGGAAAAGGGAAGGGGAAGGAGAAGCGGGAGCGGACGGAGAGAAGGAGAGCCGGAGAGGAAAGCGGAGAGCATGCGGAGGAGAAGGGACGCGGGACGGGTTAAGGATACAGTGAATTAGCCTGAGCAGAGCAGAGTAGAGTAATGAGAGATATTAAGAATGCAATCAACTGGTTCTGATGGAAAGTCCCTGATTTCATCACTGAGACGTAACCTCATTCACCCTACTCCCCCTCAACCCCCCTCCTTCCTTCTGCTCACAGCTTACATGTCTGTTGAGATCCAATATTAATCTTCTCAATTTCCACCGCTACTCACCGTCTAGTGTTCCGCTTCCGCTTCTTAAGAACGCCATAATTCGAGGAAACGATAGCCGAGGAGGGTAACTGCCGCTGGCTTAGTCGATGGGTGTCGTGCGTCTGTTTATTTATGCGCTTCAAAAGCTGGTCTAGTCGGTTGACTGATACGATCTCGAACGTCACTGACCGGTCGTTCGCTCGCTCACTTGTAACCACTACGGTGGAATGGATATTAACTGGCCGTCAGGTCAAGGCATCCCGTCCGCGCACCAGGGAAAGGACGAATATTCAATTGTGAACCATGAACTATGAGTGAGACTCGATGGTCCGTGGCGGGAAACGAAGCTGACGCCAACAGAGTTGGGAGTTGAAGCCTGACGCGTGGAATTCGTAGAAACGGACAAGTTTTTCAGAGCCTGAAAAAACAAAAACACAGTATTCCTTCTCCTCACTGCGTTCCTTAATCCTTCACAATGTCTTTTCTCTCCACGGCGTCCCTTCTCCTCCCTGGCACAGCTTCAGTAGTACAAATCCGCTCGCACCATAGAAACTGCTGGAGCGCCGCCTAAACGTTTGTCTGAGAGCTGAAGAGCTTTCAACGCGCCAAACGCTTGCGCTGCGCTGATACTCATCTCATGCCGACTCGACTGGTGCTGGCTGGAACTGAAATAGAATACTACGCCATTGACAAACTCGAAATGAGATAATCTCTGAACGAACTCTGAACTCGTGTAATCTCGAGGTGCATTGCTCGCCGATGTCCCCATAAGGATTCGCTCGTTCCAATAGAAGTACTAGAACAAATTGGATCACAATCTGAGCCAATACAACAGAATCAAGGGTAAACCACAAGTATTTATGCCGTATCATTTCATATCCATGCTGCGTCAGGGTAAATCGCTCTTAGAACAGTACGTTGCATGAGGGGACTACCGTGATCTCAAGGTTAGATGACCCCGGGGACCTATCCTAAATGTGCTTGAAATGGGTTGTGGGGTCTTATTTAATTGCATGTAATGCATAAGACCCCTGGACATATATGGAATGCAAGGAAGAGTGTTGAAAAAATTCAACAAAAAAAAACCCCTTCAAATTCGAGTTTGCCTGCAAGCGAGGAACCATATCGCCACTTTCGCACAACTTGACCCATGCCACGCGTCGCACATTAAAACATGATAGCGGCAACAACTGGCAGTGCTAACATAGCGCTACTCCGCTTGATTGGTTTGTTGATTACACCTCCATCACTCCATCATATTCAATGCATCTAGAACATTCCAAGAACATTCCATCGTGCACTGCTAGATTGCATGCGTCATGGGGAACGTGAACTCAACCAGCTCACTAAGAACGCTTCCGCAATTACATCATCTCTAGTTAGAATCTTAGCCTTGAAACAATCCTAAGGGCTTTTCTCAACCCAACAGCTCTCCTCCCCGGCTTCAGAGGGGGGTAGTCTGAATCTGAGGCTCATTTTCATTTTTTTTTTCCTGAGTTCAAAGCCCCCTCCCACCTTTCTCAGACACCATGTTGTCACCCGCTCGTTTAGGCAGCTCTCCCCTGCAGACGCCGTCATGTCGGCGCTCAGATGCTGATGAAGATGCGGGCTGTCAGCGCAACCCGCGGCCTTGCAGCCATGGCGAACTCACCCCCAGCTCCACCAGCTCCACCAGCTCCGCCGGCTCCTCTGACCCCACCTTCTCCTGCTCCTCCCGCTCCTCCCGCACCTTCTGCTCCTCCGTTGCCTCCCCTAGCCCTTCGAACCGGTGGACGATGAAGAGGAGTTCCTCGGGCAGCTGGAGCCTAACGCGTCGTCATCTGAAGCCCCGGAGAGTGATGGTGGCCCATCGACCGGTGAAAGTCTTCCCCTTCCTCTCCTTTGCTTCCCTACTGATGTGCTGCGCGATTTCGACCCTGCCTCGATCACCCGGTGTAACACCTTGTTCCCGCAACAAGGTTAACGAACACATGCGACACTCTTGCACCATGGCGGAGAAGACATCATGGCTTGGGCGGATGCACGATGAGCACCTCACGGTGCGCGAAACTGCACGGATGGCCGGCGTGCAACCAGTCAGCATTCGCCGGTGGCTGAAGTTGGCTGAGGAGATGACATCGGCGGCTGGCAATTGTCTGCTAGGTGGTGGATGGCAAGCCCGCTACCCTAACATGGAATTTTCCGTGTACAAGCAATTCCTCTCCCCCATGTCACGGGGACGGGTGATCCCGATTAATCTGTTGCAGACGTGGAGCCGGATTTCGATGAAGAACCGGCACCATGAGGTCGACTGGCGCGCCTTTCCGCAATAGACCTTCAGGTTTTGCAAGCGTTGGGGTCTCACAGTGAGGGTAAAGACCAAGATTGGGCAGCGTCTGGCGAAAGGTGCGTCTAATCTTATTGATTCATTGATGTTTAGTGTTGTAACTTCTCCGCTATAACAGCTTCTTTTGTTTACCTGTAGGTTGCAAGCCGAAGTGTGAAAGACTCTGGAAGTTGTGCAGGAGGCAAGTGGTCAGAGATGGCATCGATCAATAAAACATTGTCAACGCCGACTAGGCGCCGGTGTTCCTCGAGATGCCGCACGAGAGGACGTTGGTGCACTGTGGCGAGCTCGTGGTTCATGTTCGGAGCGCCGGCTATGAAAGGCAGCGGATGACCGAGGGGCTGGCGGTCACGGGGGGTGAAGCTACCGCCGATGGTGATACTCAAGCGGAAAATAGTCCCCAACATCCGGGTCCTGCCTGGTCAGTTGTTTTCTATTTCGCATGTAGACCCTAGTGCATGTATGTCCCCCTCTCACGGTTTCCGGTTTCCCTCGAGCGCAAAAACGAGGCTGGATGGATTCCAGCCTCGTCACGGATTGGGTGCAGAACGTGCTGCTCCCTCATACGCAACCCCGCCCAGGCTTCAACCACAGCAAGACTCTGCTCGTTCTGGACCCGTACTGTGGGGCATTTGGCGAACACGGTATGGGGCATCTGACGAACATGGTATGGGGCATCTGACGAACACGGTACGGGGCACGCTACGCTGGCATCGCGTCACGCCAGTCATTTTCCTGACAGTTGCACGCCTCTTCTGCAGCTGCTGGACGTGAGCATCAATCACTCGTTCAAGGCTGGCGTCCGGCAGATGTACAACGACTGGTTTGCCGATTTCTGCATCAACACCCTCACCCCTGCCGGTAAGAACCTTCTTGTTTGAGCCACTTTACCGCCACCATCGTTTTCGCCATCACCACTGCAGCAACCTTAGGAAGTCGCCAACGAAGTTTGTGATCCTGTGAATCGCCACGGCCTAGACTGCCGTCCTTGACGACCTCATTGTCTGCTCGTTCAAGACATGCGGCATTACCAACTCCCCTGATGGGAACGAGGATAACTTGATCCTTGCGCAAATGCGCGATGCAGCTCAAATGGAGATGCACGACGACGTGCACGCGACGCGGGAGGTTGAGGATAGGGTCAACCCCATGTACATCACTGAGGAGGAGGACGAGGTGGAGGCATCCATGGAGGAGGAGGAGGAGGAGGAGGAGGAGGAGGAGGAGGAGGAGGAGGAGGAGGAGGAGAAGGGGGAGGAGGAGGAGGAGGAGGAGGAGGAGGAAGAGGAGGAGGAGGAGGAGGAGGAGGAGGAGGAGGAGGAGGAGGAGGAGGAGGAGGAGGAGGAGGAGGAAGCTGTTAAAGTTTAGAAGAAAGAAGAGAGAAGAAGGGGATTGCACTAGCAAGAATGGGGATACAAATAGGAAACCCTAGAAGGGTTGTACTCGCTATAGAGCACCCCACTACAGGCTAGAGCATAAGATAACATTCTGACAGAAGCCATGGACGAGGAGGACGGCGAGGAGGAGGAATAGAGAGCTGTAGCAGTAGGTAGTTTAGCAGTGATAAACTCTTGCTAGCCTAGTTTTAGTTTTTAGGTACCATATAATAATGTAGCGTATTTGAATATGTTAACATGTATGTCTAATCTATATATTTTTTATAATATACAAAACAATATCCAGAAAAAAAAGAAACCTTATAATGGTTTGGGTCAAACGACAGGTCCTCTCCAGGACTGACACAATAAAAGACCCCTGGTCAGGATAGAAGATCAAAGGGGCTTGTATGCCGGGGGGTCTTATTGCCGAGAGATTACGGTACCTTCTTACTTTCGGGCCTTATTGCCGAGAGATTACGGTACCTTCCTACTTTCCATGTCGAGGACGATCCACCCTCTACTCGTAGCTAATGCCGAGATGAACTCCCCAGCATGCGTGGCTCACGAATTTAGTGGTAATGTCAGTCCACTTCACGTGAGGCCAGAGGTTTTTCTTGATTGTCGTGGTGGAAAAGGAGGTTGTCCAAGCTCGTCGCGTATTGCATTGCGTAGGGCCAGTAGGCGGGGGGTAGTCCTGACCGCTTTAGTAGAGCGTGCATCTTCGTCATGAGCGTGGGTTGGTGTGCCCAACGGCGCGTTACTGGGGTTGCGCATAGGGGAGAGAAATGTGCTGCAAAATCTTTTTTTTTCGCCCAAGAAATCATGGATTTGTTTCGTGCGAAACTCTGACGTGCCATCCGTCTTGTTGAAACTAGGTCAAATTAGGACTTAGGTTTTAGGAAGGAGAAGTGGTTGTACTAGTAGGCAGGTGGAGTACATATAGGAAACCCTAAAAGGGTTGTACTCTCTGTTGAATACCCCACTACAACCTACATATCAAATAACATTTTGACACACCCCCATAGGTGAAGTGGGGGATAGCCAACCGAACAAGCAGTCGCAGGACCAGTTCACAGGCAAAGTCCAGTGGCAGAAACAGAGGGCAAGTGAGGAGGAGGAGGAACCATGAGAGGAGAGGAGGAGGTGGGCGGCCCCGGAAGCTGCTGGCACATTGCGCAAACCGGGGTAACTGGCTCTGCTCGCCGGCAAGAGCAACTGACCCACGGTCAACTGCAAGTGGCACACAGGCAACTGGAGTAACTGGCTCTGCTCGCCGGCAAGAGCAACCGACTCACGCTCCACTGGCGCAACGATCTCACGGGCGACTGGGCGGACTTCACGACGGCCACCCGCCTTCAACCTCCTCGCATTGTCCCAAACCCCCTTTCACACCCCTCGGCATCCCTAGCGCCACTCCCTCGTCTCCCCCACACCCCTCGAATTGTCCCAAACGCCCTTTCACACCCCTCGGCATCCCTAGCGCCACTCCCTCGTCTCCCCCACACCCTCCCCCCCCTCAGCGTCAGCTGCAGCACTGGGAGAGAGAGGAGGAGCGGCAGCTGATCACTCGCGCCCGCCACCCCCATACCCTCCCCCCCACGGCTGCACGCGCAGCATGGAGATGAAGAAGAAGGGGGGGGGCGGGGGGCCGGGGTAGGAGCTGCAGGCGCACGGCCTGCAGAGGCGGCTCGCGGGCTGCAGGGGCAGCGCGCGGGCTGCAGGGGCGGCTCGCGGGCTGCAGGGGCAGTGCGCGGGCTGCAAGGGGCAGGCGCGTGGGCTGCAGGGGCGGCTTGCGGGTTGCAGAGGCAGTGCGCGGGCTGAAAACTGCCGCATGCTCGGGGCGCGCATCAGGCAGGAAACCGACGCGCGCCCGGGGCGTGCGACGGGCAGGATCCGTCGCGCGCCAGGGGCGTGCGACGAGCAGGATCAGTCGTGCGCCCGGGGTGCGCGACATGCAGGAATTCGTCGCGCACCCGGGGCGCGCGACGTGCATAAAACCGCCGCGTGCTCTGCGCGCCCGGGGCGCACGGCGGGCAGAAAACGTCGCGCGCCCGGGGCGCGCGACAGGCAGGAAATCGCCACGCTCCCGGGACGCGCGACTGAAAGGAAGACAGCGGAAGCGATTGGTGGGCCCAACAGGATCGACCAGACAGGGTCGACCTGCTCTGATAGCATGTTGAAACTAGGTCAAGCAGGCAGGTGGAGTACATATAGGAAACCCTAAAAGGGTTGTACTCTTTGTTGAGTACCCCACTACAGCCCACACAGCAAATAACATTTTGATACGTCTGCCACATCCGAAGACCTTCATTGTATTGCAGTTGCGCGCGAGCTAAATACAAGCGGAAAAACTCGTATGCCCGGCTCCAATTTGCGACGTTCCAATATGAACGTTATTGTGTAACTTTTGTCATTTAGTTGTACACTTTGTACAGCTTCGAGCACATGCCAGGTTCGAATAGAGGGGAGTAGGCGCGGCTTTGGGGCATGTGGTGCAGACATATGGTTGTGTCGTGGTTTTTAACTTCGTTCCCTCAGAGCGCATAATGACTTTGGGCGCGAATATTTACTAGAGAGGCGGCTGTTGAGCGCCTCACGTGACAAGTGTTCAAGGCGCTGGTGCCGAAGGCCGTAGATTGCGCAAACGCAGGGAGGCGGAGATTGCGTGCGCATGATTTTTCAGGGGTTTCTCCACGTTCCGGTTCATGTTCTTCCGACGTCGTCGAGAACGCGAATGCGATAGAACGTATGCGATAGTGACAATACGGTGGATATCGGTCTTATTGATAGTGCCTTATGTGGTGCCGCATATCCTGGGAGGTAGTCGCGGCGGATGCGGTCCTTGAATAATCTCAGGAAGCAAAGGTTCTTCTTCGTACTGGGTGTAAGAATATTTTGGCTTAGCTGGTTGATCCGATGGGATGCGGAGTTGTTGGAGATGAGCCCAAAGCGATGGTGATTAATGGGTCGCGTTGCGGTCTTTCGGGCGATGTTGTTGGTGGCGGTGTCGGTTGGCACGGGGGGCGTTCGAGTGAAGAAAATTGGAAGCGATTGTGCTTCTGGTTGTTCCCCTCCTATGCTCTCCTCATTGTTTACAGTGCCCCCTTGTTTAGGGCAAACCCCATCTGCCGCCGAATGTGCCACATTTTTCACAATGTTTTATACTTGGGTGTTATTTGATACACAACAATACCTTCAATTGTGTCACGCGAATTTGTGACGTGTCAACCTAGGAATGCACCCTTAATTCGAGCAAGTGCAACATGCATTTGATAATAAGCATGTATAGACTGGGGATATGAGAGGCATATACAGTATAACTGGATGGTGAAACTTCAAGACGTTTCCCTCGTTTTTGTGTTCTGTGAGCTCTAAATGAAGCAGCCGTTTTGCCACGCACACATCAGCCAGCCGAGCACACGGGCTTGCCGCTTGTGGAAGTTGACAAGGACTTTAGATAATCCACGTCAGGGGAGTTTATCCACATCCGACGGCAGAAAATACCAGCCACACCTGCTCAACAACCGCAGAACGAGAGCATCGACGATGGCTGTCATGGCACCATTTGCTCCATGTGACCCCATGACCCCGTTCTTCTCATCTCAATCCCCATGGCCATGACTCCCCAGCCATGTCATAACGGCAGAATCAGCAAGTTCCAAAGTCCCAGCCAAACACTGTGTTTCAGCTGTGCGGATTGATCGGTGATTGAGCCACGTGGCAATAAAGCGGTCCCTTTTGTGGTGGTAACCCGCACTATTCGCCGACGCCAGAACCATGTCAGAACCACGTCGCATCCCGTCAGTGATCTCGCTCCTTTCTGGTCTCTTCTCCCCCAACGCGTAGCGTCAGAGCGGGTTCACAGCCTTATCCCCCCTCCACCCCTCTGCTTCCCCGCCAGTGTCCCGCACTCACCTCACCATACCACCCACTTCTGCAAGGCACCGTAACAATAAGAGATGGTACCGAACCATACCGTGCAGAACTAAGGCCACCAAACCTCCCGAACCAGCGTTTTCATCCCATACCTCACTAGGTCAGAAATGTCCTGTCTCGATTGCTCGATCTTCCTGACTCCCCAACGCAACACCAGCAATACAGCACAGATGTTGCAAGGCATCATTGGTCACTGCGAACCCACGCAAACTGCTTGAACGGAACCAAACAAGAGCTTGTGTTCTCGTGTCTGCAAACTTCGCTTCCGTGTCGATCCGTCAGCAGTGGCAACGCAGTGCAATTCTAGAGCTAGGCTCGAACGACGTGCAAGCATGCGGTCGTGCTGCTGCTGGCAAATGATGCCCCTGGTCCGCCGATCACCCGCTGCCATCTCCTCGTGAACGTCACCAGTTGTTCCTCCTGAGAAAACATATCGGTTTTTGTTTTTTTTTTTTTTTTGTTGTTTTTCCCGCTATTCCCGTGCATTTGTTCGAGGAACTTTTATTCTTACAATCCAATATACCCCAGCAGTGATTTTTTTTTTTGTCTCCTACAGTTCCATCCTATACTTCGCACGAACCCCCCCTCTAAAAAGTCGCCGAAACCCAGCCTTCTCGATCTGACCGTCCGCCTCGGATATTAAGGCTCGTTAGCGACTCTTAAGTAACGTCTAGGAGCCACAGCAAAATTGGGTGAGCGAGATGACGCTACCCACGCGGCTAAGTTCCTCCACTGCCGTAACCGTGCACTCGTCAGGTGTTGCACACTCGTCGCCAATCGTTCACTCTTCGACATGTTTACATGCCGGTTCACCTCGTGCGGCATGGCTCCCGGAAACTGCTGTCACGGTTCGTCTAGAGTCCGTTCAAGCGCTGGACGGACGGCCCCGATCGGACCATGCGAGGCCGTCATACGTTCTGCGACGAGGAATCGTCGCCGCTGCGACCGCTCAGGTGGCGGGAACCGGCAGCACCCATCGGCTCCGGGATATGGGCGTGTCCCGGAGAACGGGCATTAGTGGGTCGAGACTAGTCCTAAACAGCGCTACTAGCGGTGTTACAAATGCCACTGGTGGCATCAGTGGCCGTAAACATGGGCCGTGTGGCGGGGCTGTTAGCGCGGGTGATAGCAGCCTCGGTCGCCGCGACAGGCAGGAGCAGACGTTGGGATGGGGTGTTAACGGCTGCGTAGATGGCGGTGGGATTGAGCGAAGACTGTCACAGCGGTCGGCTGCACACTCGCCGCAGCAGCTGCAGCAGACGCAGACGCAGACGCACCGGGGAGCCGTTACGGTTTCGGCCGTTCTTAAGTAAGAATACGGGAGAGACAGCTGACATATAAAGCTCTTATAGTTGTTCTTGCCAGTTTTTTTGTTTTTCTCTGTTTTTGTCTATTTGTTTCCAACGATTAGAAAAAATGTCGTTAGTTGCCGTGCGTTCCGCCGATCATGTCATCCTTCCTGCACATTACCTTCGTCCATTTCGCCAATCCATTTTCCTTCGTTCCTTTTCCCCCATCGTCCACTTCCGCCGTCTATTTCCGCCCAGCAGCCCCCCAGGCCAGCAACTGCCAGCGAAGAAGCCGTTCACTCCCCGCCAGCGCCCCTCCTCCAACCCCTCCTCGGAGCTCAGCTCGCCTTTTCCCGCCGTCTCCCCTGCCGCTGCGCGCCAGAGCGGGAACAACGACGGCGGAAGCGGAAGCGGGAGCGGAAGCGGAAGCAAGAGCGCGAGGGGTAGCAGGGCCGGTAGCGGCGGAAGGGGGGGAGGCAGAGGACGCAAGCACGCGAGCAACTTGGTAAGCAACCCCGGCGGGGGCGGCGGCAATGGCGGGAACCGCAGCGGCAGCGGCGGCAGCAGTAGCGTCGATCGCGGCGGCGCTGTGGGGCTACGCATGGGCGCGGTCGGCTTCGGGGGTTCCGCCAGCGAGGCAGATGGCGGAGGAACGGCATTGGCTGTCGGGGCATTGGCCGGGGGATTCGACGTGAAGGCATTGGGGGGAGGGGAAGCAAAAGAGATGGCGGGCAGCAGTGCGATTGGTGGTGGCGGTGGTGATGGTGGTGGTAATAGAGCGCAAGTGGCGGCAGGAGAAATAGGGGCGTTATTACCCTCAGATGCGTCAGCTTTGCCCGGTCCTGTGGCGGCTGCTGCTGTGAATGGCGCTGATGGTGGCGCTGCTGCTGCTGCAAGCGCACAGCAAGTGGATGGCGCGAAGTCGGAAGAGGAGGAGGAGGCGGAGGGAGCTGGGAAAGAGGGTCAGGAGCAGGAGGAGGAGGGGAGAGCAGATGTGGATGCGCGGTCTGGTTCACCCGGTAACGGATCATTGCGTGGCGGGGATAGTTCCGGCGGAGAGGGGGACGAGGCGGAGGCGGATGATCCGGAGAGCAACGAGGAGGCGGTTATGGCTGCGCGGCTGTCCATGGCGAGCCTGGCTGCGGGCATCGCCAGTCAGGTATGCTGAGAGATGGTGCGCGCGTGCCCCAAACACGTGTGTGTGCTTTGTCGTCGTGGGGTGGCTGTGTGTGTGAGGGTGTGAGTGGAGTTCCGCTGTCCATGACCACCAGCTTGGCTGTGGGTATCGCCAGTCAGGTATGCTGAGAGATTGTGCGTGCGTGCGCCGCCTCTGCATGCTTTGTTGGCGTAACTGTGCGGGTGGTGGGGCTGGTTAAGGGTTGGAGTGACGAGCTGGGTCGAGCCGGGTGTATGCGTGTGGATATGGGGATGGAATGGTGTTGTGGTGTATTGTTGTTGATGAGTCGCCTGGTAAGGTGTAAGGATGTAAAAGCCCGTGAAGGCTCGTACGTACGTTCCTTGTTCTGATACAAAGCGTGAGAGGTGATCGATTAACCAGTGAATTAACAACCAGTGACCGAACGCTATGCAGCAGAACTATAACGCACACTGATATAACGCAATCTTTTAACAAAGCTAACTTCCAGTCTTCTAACGCTTTGCCTCCTTGCACCACCCCACGCTTTGCTTATTCTCTCCGTCACTGCGTCTTTCCCCTGCTCTGCTCTGCTCCGCATCTCCCTCCCTCAGCCCGACTATGACAGTCCTGGCGCCGACAGTGATGGTGATGGCGACGGTGGCGGTGGCAGTGGCGGTGGCAGTGGTGGTGGTGGCGGCGGAGGCGGCAGGGGAGGCGGGGGGAGTGCGAGCGGTGGGGGGAGCTCGGCGGGGAAGGCGGACCGGTCGTTGGAGCTGGGCGATTTGATCGGCATGATTAAAGACGCCGAGTCCAGTGAGTGTGCCGTGCTGCTGCCTGCATGCATGTGCAAGTGCATGCACCCCCGTGCTGTTGTTCTTTTGAGGTGCCTAAAAAATTGTCCGTGAGCTGGGCAGGTTGGTCGGCATGACTAAGGACGCCGAGTCCAGTGAGTGAGTTAGTGAGTGTGCAGTGCAGTGCAGTGCAGTGCCGTATGCGTGCAACCACGAGGTGACTTTAGAGTCGACTTAGAAGTCGAAAGTTGTTTCGAGCCAGCTTCGATTCTGTTGTTACTCCGAGCCGCCTCTCGCGCTCCCCCCCATGCTGCGCCATCTGGCCTGCTATGCTTTGCACGTGGAGGCATCTGGTTTGTCACGCCATAGCACGTTTCTCCCTTCTCTGTTTGGCCCCACCCGCCTCCTTCCCCCTTCCTGTTTTCCGATTGCTACTTTCTCACACTCCATCCTCGTTCCCCCACGCTTTTCCCAATCCCCGGGCCCCCGGTCCACCCCGGTTTCCCCATTCCCTCTTTTCTTTCCTCCCCTTTCTCCCTTCCCCTCTACCTCCTCACGCTCCGCTTTCCTCCCTCCACCGCACCGAACCCCTGGGAGAGCAGACATTCTGCTGCTGAACCGAGTGCGGTCGCGCGCGCTGGAGGAGCTGTCCGAGGCGCGCATGCAGAACGACGGGCTGCAGAACCAGCTGCGAATCTTCCAGGCGCGCATCGCGGAAGCCGACGCGAAGCTTCACCTGGCGGTGCAGAGCCGCGAGCGGAGCTCCCTGCTGGAAACGCAGCTGCGCGTGCTGCAGGAGCAGGTGGAGGAGCTGGGGGAGGCGGACGGCGAGGGGGAGGGGGAGGGGGAGGGGGAAGGCGCGGAGGCGGCGGAGGAGGAGGTGGTGGGGGAGCTGGAGAAGCAGGTGGCGGAGCTGCGCGCGCGGGTGGAGGACGGGGAGGAGGCGGAAGCGCGGCTGGAGATTCTGCAGGGGCGGAACGAGGCGCTGCAGCAGGAGGTGGAGGAGGGGATCCGCCAGGCGGAGGCCGCGCGGAAGAGGGCGGAGGAGGTGGAGCGGAGGCTGCGCGAGGAGATGGAGGGGCTGACTGAGAGGCTGGTGCGCCTGCAGGCGGAATTGGCGGTGTCTCAGGCGAAGGAGAAGGAGCTGGAGGATGCGGTCGCGGTTAAGGGGCTGCTGGAGCGGGAAGTGGGGGATCTGCGCGGGAAGGTGGCGGAGAAAGAGGCGGAGATGGCGCAGGCTGTGCAGGAGCGCGAGGAGGAGGTGGCGCGGCTGCGGGAGAGGCTGGAGCGGGAGGTGGGGGAGCTGGGGAAGAAGGTGCGGGAGGAGGGGGAGCGGAGGCGGGCGGCGGAGGAGGAACGGGAGAGGCTGGATGGGGAAATCGCGGCGTTGAAAACGGAGGTGGAGGAGAGGGAAGAGGCGCTGAGGCGAGAGCTGGAGGAGGTGGCAGGGAAGCTAAGGCGAGAGGTGGAGGAGAGGGAAGCAGTGGTGGGGGAAGAGGTGCAGGAGAGAGAGGCTCTAGTGGCTAAGCTGAAACAGGAAGTGGATGAGCTGACGGAAAGGGTTGGGGAGAAGGAGCGGGAGAGGGAGCGCGCGGAGGCGGAGGTGGGGGAGCTGCGGAAGAGGGTTGAGGCGGCGGAGGAGGTGGTGCGGGCGAAGCAGGGGGAGGTGGAGGTGCTCCAGGAGGAGCAGGCGGAGGAGCTGCGCGCGCTGGTGGCGCGGCTGGGGGAGGAAACCGCGCAGATGCGGAAGGCGCTGCAGGGGAAGGAGCAGGAGGTGGCGGAGGTTGAAGCAGCGCGGGGGAAACTGGAGGAGGTGGTGAGTCGGACGGAAGGGTGGCTGGGGGAGGTCCGCAGGGAGAATGCGGACCTGTGGGCACAGCTAGCAGCGCTGCAGCAGCAGATGGAGGAGTCAGAAGAGAAAAGAGAGCTGGTGGTTCAGTTGACAGAGGAGGAGGAGAGGAAGCGGGAGGAGCAGCGGCAGCAGCTGGTGCTGCAGCTGCAGCAGGCGCAGGAGCGGGTGGGGGAGCTGGAGCGGAAGCAGGAGATGGTGGCAAAGGTAGAGGCGGAGATCAGCCTGCTACAGTCCGCAATTGAGGAGGCGGAGGGACTGGAGAGGATATCCGCGGCTGTAGCAGAGCAGAACGAGGAGCTTCAGGGGGAGCTGGCAAGGCTGAGAGAGGAGGTGGCCGCGGCAGAGGCGGCGAGGGCGCGGGAGCAGGAGGAGAGGCAGGCGGAGAAGGAGGACTGGTGGCGGCTGGCTGAGGAGACAGAGGCGTATCGGGCCCAAGTGGGCGTGCTAAGGAGCGAGCTGATGAAAACGGACGAGCTGATGCGAGCGCAGCTGGAGCTGTATGAAGCCCAGGTGGCCGCTTTTCAGGAGAGTTTAGATGCTGCGAATGAGAGCGTGGAGGTGTATAGGGCCCGGGCGGCGGAGGCGACAGCAGCGGCGGAAGAGGCCGCGGCGATGGCGGCGGATGCAGAGGCGGTGGCGGCGCAGTGGGAGGAAGCGGCCGCGTCCGGCGCGCTGGGTGAGCTGAATCTGGGCGGAATGACCAGCGGGTTTGTCACCAGTGGGAGCAGCAGCAGCAGCAGTGGGGGAAGGTGGCAGCGACCAGCGGTGGTTGCAGCAGGGGAGCTGCCTTGGGAATACTGGAGTTCTCTTCTACTGAAGCTGGACGAGCTGCTGCTGCGACGGGTGTTGACAACTGAAGAGGTGGACGAGTTGAGAGACATGGCGTGGCGGAGGGAGAAGGCGATCAGAGACGCGTGGGATTCTGTAGGGGGCGCGGAGGTGGTGCAGGCTGTGGCGGCGGGGGGGAACAGTGACGCGGTCCTGGGGAGAGATGCGGTGGTGGCGGGTGCGCTGAGGGGGGTGCTGGGAGGGGAGCAGCCGCCGCTGCCGCCCCTGCATGTGGTGCATATAGCTGCGGAAATGGCTCCTGTGGCGAAGGTAGGGGCGTGGGGTGGGGAGGTGCGAGAGGGGCGGGTGGGGGGGTTGGATGAAAATGGTTGGTGGGGGCTGTTGGGGTAGGGAGGAAAGGAGGAGAGGGAGGAGGAAAGGGAACAAGCTGTTTGGAGATGTTGGTGGGTGGTAGTCCATGCACTAACACATCGATCTGTGTTTGCTCGTTGTGTTGTGCGTGCATGTGTGCGTGTGCGTGTGTGCGTCTCTGCATGTGTGGGCATGTGGTATGGCAGGTGGGAGGGCTAGCAGACGTGATCACGGGGCTGTCGAAGGCTCTGCAGCGCCGGGGGCACCTGGTGGAGATCATTCTGCCCAAGTACGACTGCATGGACTACTCCCGCATCAACGACCTCAAGGTGCGTGCGCCTCCATGCTTGCGTGCGTGCGTGTCGTGCGTGCGCTCGCTGATTGTGTGCTGCGTGCATTGTGGCCGCTGGCTGGCATAGCAGCACACCTGGTGGAGATCATTCTGCCCAAGTACGACTGCATGGACTACTCCCGCATCAACGACCTCAAGGTGCAGATCCTGCATGCGTGCTTGTATTGTTAGAGGAACGGAAGGGGATGGGTTTGTGATGGGATGGGATGGGATGGGGGAGTGATGAGTCAGTTCTTTCTGGAGATGGTGTGGCATGTGAGAGGTAAAAAGGTGGCGAGTGTGAATTACAAGGGATTGCTGGATGGGAGGGTGCATGTGGTAATGGATGGGGTGTTACTCTTCGATTTCACCCTTTCATTCATCCGTGTAACCCTTATCTTTCCGTTATTCACTCCCCCTCTTCCCTGCCCGCTTCCACTTTCTCTTTCACCACCCCGTCTCTCCCCCACCACCACTCCCTTTCCCCCATGCATTGCTCTCTATCGTGCTGGTCGTATCCCGCCTTCATCATCATCATCCTCTGCATCCTGCCGTGCCCCCCTCCTCTGCACCCTGGCCTGTGCTGCGTGGCGGTGCCCTGCCTTGCTGTGTCCTGCCCTGCCCTGCTATGCCGTGTGCAGCCATTGGACCTCAAGTTCTCGTCCTTCTTTGACAATGAAATGCACGCCTGCAAGATATGGAGGGGCATGGTGGAAGGTAGGATTGGGGCAGTGGGGGGACACACAAAACACCACGCAGAAGCATCAGGCAGAGAGGCAGAGAGGGCCACATGGTCTCACACATCCAGTTTTGAGACATCTCAGAACTTGCTTCAGCATCTCGGGCAAAGAGGCAGAGAGAGTCACATTCTCGCATGCATCCTTCCCGATTTCTCTCTTTCTTCGCCCGCTCGGATTGTCCATTAAAACACAACTCCATACTTTCCAGAGTCTCACAATCATTCGAACCCCTCCCCTGTTCCAGCCCATCTTTCCCATCCTCCCCCCTTCTCCCACACCACACACCCCCCATGCAGGTCTGCCCGTCTACTTCATAGAGCCGCTGCACCCCGCGCGCATGTTTTGAACATGGTTTACCAACTCCACACCTGCCGCATTGCCCCTCTCCCCGCCCTCCTCTCCTCCCTTATATACGTACCCCCCATGCAGGGCTGCCAGTGTACTTCATAGAGCCGCTGCACCCCGCGCGCATGTTCTGGCGGGGCACCTTCTACGGGTGCAACGACGACTTCCGGCGCTTCACGCTCTTCTGCCGCGCTGCCCTCGAGTTCCTCTACGTCTCGCACAAGCGCCCCGACATCATCCACACGCACGACTGGCAGACCGCTGTTGTGGTACGTGCGTAGCGTTGCTGGGCTGCCCCCCCAAAATAGAATGTGTTGTAAAGCAGGGTTTGGTCCCACAAGCGCCCCGATATCGTCCACACGCACGACTGGCAGACCGCCATTGTGGTACGTGCATCTCTGGGCTGGCCTTGAAAAAACCCGATTTGAAAAAACCCGACTTGAAAAAACCCGACTTGAAAAAACCGACTCACAGGGAGTAAGTATACTGTGAAGCCTGGTTCGATTGCGGAGACGACGTCGCGTCCCACACGCTTCTTCCCCCCCTCACCCACCCACCCATCCCCTCCTCCTCCCCAGGCGCCGCTGTATTGGGACGTGTATGTGCCCAAGGGGCTCAACTCAGCGCAGCTGGCATTCACGTGCCACAACTTTGAGTACCAGGGGTCGGAGCATGCCAGTGCGCTCGCTGCCTGTGGGCTGGACGTGAACCGGCACAACGTGCCCGAGCGCATGAGGGATAACTTCATGCACGACAGAGTCAACCTGCTCAAGGTGGGTGTTGGGGTGACTTTTGAGTCGACTGAGAAGTCAGCTTGTGTGGGCTGGACGTGAACCGGCACAATGTGGCGGAGCACGTGCGGGATAACTTCATGCACGACAGAGTCAACCTGCTCAAGGTGGGTCGGGGGGGGGGGGGGGGGGGGGGGAGGGGGGGGTGAAGGGGAGAGAGGAGGGGTTGCTTGAGAGAGGAGGCGCCTCAGAAAGCGTCTTTACCTAGGTAGGTGGGTTCGACTGCTTGGGTGGTTGGTTGATTTCTGAGGCGCCTAAGGAAGTGGAGGAGGAGAGCATGCCCGGCAACTGCATGTATGATAGAGTCAACTCAGAGCTTGATAGCAGTAGGTGGAGGCGCATGCGGAGGTGGTGGTAGTAGTTAGCATCGTACGTATTGTGACAAGCCCGGCAAGCTTAGCACTGGTCAATGTTATGATTTCTCTCTCTCAGCAATTTCTGCTTTTTCTTCCCGCCTTCCCTTCTTCTCCCCTTGCCTCTCGCATTCCCCTTTTCTCCACCCCCCTCCTTTTCCCGCCCCTTTCTCCGCTTCCCTATCCCCCCCCTTATCCCCCCTTGCACATGGCGCAGGCGGGCATAGTGTTTTCAGGAGTGGTTACCACTGTGTCGCCAACATACGCCATGGAAGTCAGAGGGCCCGAGGTGAGTGTAACTGGGAAGCAGTGGGGGCTGGAAGGAAGGGGAGGGGGGGTGGGAAGTTGTTTTGGGGGAGAAGGTGGGTGGTGGTTTTTGGGGAGAAGAAGTGGGAGAAGTAGCAGGGTGCACGGGGGTGGGATGGCACGACACGGGATGGTGTGTGAGGGGATGGGTTGGGAGAAGGAAAGCGAGCAGTGCGAGTTGAGAGGGCGAGCGGGTGGATGAGCATGAGGGTGGGTGTCAGCGTATTTGCAAGCACAGAAAACGGGTTGTTGCAGGTGGATGATCTGGGACCACGACCACCCGAGCAACCTTGCCCTTCATCCACCGTCCAGCCCCAGCTTTCTCTTTTTTGCTCCATCTCTCACCTTACTCCCTCGGCTCGTCCCTCCCCACCATCCCCCCCCCAACCTCCCCCTTCCCCCTTGAACACCCTGCAGGGCGGGCGAGGGCTGCACCTGACGCTGGGGCAGCACGAGAAGAAGTTTTTTGGCGTGCTGAATGGGATTGATTCAGAGGTGTGGGATCCCGCCACCGACCCGCTGCTGTGCTGCCCCTACAGCGCTGCTGAGCCCGAGGGCAAGGCGGAGAACAAGGCGTATCTCAAGTCCATGCTTGGGCTCTCGTCCTCAGGGCCTGATGCACACAAGCCGCTGGTGGGTTGTGTGCGGATGTGTGGGTGAGAGTGTGTGTGTGTGCGCGTCTGGGGAGGGAGCAAGGACGAGTTTTGAAATTAAGTCCATGCTGGGCCTCTCGTCCTCAGGGCCTGATGCACACAAGCCACTGGTGGGTTGTGTGTGGTGTGTGAGTGAGCGTGTGTTCTTGTATGTGTCTGCGTGGGGAGAGGAGGTTGAGGGGGGGAGGGGGGGCGGACGAGGGAGAGAGAGTGGGAAAATGGAAGGGGAAGTGAAGCCAGAGCAGGGAAGCGGAGAACTGTCATGTATCCCTGCTCTTTTTTCCCGAGAGACGCCGCGCTTTTCCAGTGTCAAACTATGCCCATGTCATCTCTTTCCACCTCTCTCCAACTTATGGGTAGGTGGGGTGCATCACGCGCCTGGTGCCACAGAAGGGAGAGCACCTCATCCGCCACGCCATCTACCCTCAACGCATGCCCATCTCATCTCTCTTCCCATCTCTCCTCTCTCCATCGTCCTCTCCCCATGGTGACCAGGTGGGGTGCATCACGCGTCTGGTGCCACAGAAGGGAGTGCACCTCATCCGCCACGCCATCTACCGCACGCTGGAGCGCGGTGGCCAGTTCGTGCTGCTTGGATCCAGCCCCGTGCCCGACATCCAGGTGCGCCTTGTCTTGATCGCCCCGGTGGGTCATGAGAGCCCCGTGCCTCACATCCAGATGACTTTTGAGTCGAAGGACTCAAAGGCCAGTTCGTGCTGCTTGGATCCAGCCCCGTGCCCGACATCCAGGTGCGCCTTGTCTTGATTGCCCCGGTGGGTCATGAGAGCCCCGTGCCTCACATCCAGATGACTTTTGAGTCGAAGGACTCAAAGGCCAGTTCGTGCTGCTTGGATCCAGCCCCGTGCCCGACATCCAGGTGCGCCTTGTCTTGATTGCCCCGGTGGGTTGTGAGTGCGCTGTGCTTTTTTCAACGTGCACTGGGTCGTAGTGCCTCGTGCGGCCTTACATCACATGCCCTTTAGTCTCCAGTCGTCTGGGCTGCTTATCCCTGCTGCTACTCCCCTCCCCTCCTCCTTTTACCCCTCTCCTCGTTAACCTCTTTGCTTCGCCATTTGTTCACCTCACCCCTAGCTCACCTCTAACTGTGCTTCCTCCACATTCCCTTCCCCTCCCCCTCCTCCCCTTGTTTCCCTCTTCCCATCCCCCCTCGTTCTCTCCCTCCCCCGTGCAGAAGGACTTTGAGGGCATAGAGCGGCAGTTCAGCAGCGACCCCAACATCCGGCTGGTGCTCAAGTACGATGAGAGCCTCTCGCACCTCATCTACGCCGGCTCCGACCTCTTCATCATCCCCTCCATCTTCGAACCCTGCGGCCTCACCCAGGTGCGTGTGTGCCTGCTTCCCTGCCTCTGGGCTGGGTGCATGTGTGCTTGGGGGGAAGGCGGTGATGTGGTGTGGTGCGGTTGAAATGACTCGTGTGTGAATGCAGGAGGTTGCCAGTTGAAATGAATTTGGTGGAGACTGGGTTGCCTTGTTTCTCCGCCACTCGATGTTTCTGCTGGTGTTAGCACGCACAGAATGCATGTGTGCACGTGTCTGCGTATTTGTATGCATGTGCAATACATTCCTGTGCTTGTGTGCGTGCGTATGACTGCTACGTATGTTTCTGACCACTAATGTACCCCTACTCACTTACCCCCTCCCATCCCTTCCTGTCCCATGCCACATGGTCAGCTTATTGCGATGCGCTATGGTTCCATACCCATCGTGCGCAAGACAGGCGGGCTCGCAGACAGGTATGCCGGGCTCTCTCTCTCCCTCTCCCTCTTCCTCTCCCTCTCTCTCTCCCTCTCCCTCTCCCTCTCCCTCTCCCTCTCCCTCTCCCTTTCTCTCTCCCTCTCCCTCTCCTCTCCCTCTCCTCTCCCTCTCCCTCTCCCTCTCCCTCTCCTCTCCCTCTCCCTCTCCTCTCCCTCTCCTCTCCCTTTCCCTCTCCCTCTCCCTCTCCCTCTCCTCTCCTCTCCTCTCCCTCTCCCTCTCCCTCTCCCTCTCCCTCTCCCTCTCCCTCTCCCTCTCCTCTCCCTCTCCTCTCCCTCTCCTCTCCCTCTCCCTCTCCTCTCCCTCTCCCTCTCCCTCTCCATCCCCACCCCACAATCGTGTTTCGCGCATAGATTCAAGCACTGCTGCCACTTCTCCCATTAGCGCACTTGTCTCACCTGTGCCATTTGTCAACCAATTACATCCCGCCTGCTTCAACACACTCGTTTCTCCCTCCGCGCTCCGTGTGTGTGTGTGTGTGTGTGCGTGTGTGTGTGCGTGTGTGTGTGTGTGTGTGTGCGTGTGTGTGTGCGTGTGTGTGTGTGTGTGTGTGTGTGTGTGCGTGTGCGTGCGCATGTGCGTGTGTGTGGGCGCAGTGTGTTTGATGTGGACGACCCATCCATCCCCGTGGAGAAGCGCAACGGCTTCAGCTTCACTGCCAGTGATGTCAATGTGAGCCCTCTACTCACCCACCATTTTCTGTGTGGGTGCATCCGTGCGTATCAATGCGTGCGCACAGGTGTTGAACTACCCGTGAGACTGCTATCACAGCATACTCCTCCGTTTTCACTCCTACATATTCCTACATATTCACTCCCCCCTCTCTTGTCTCCCTTCCTCTCCCTGTCCAACCCATCCTCATCCCACCCATCCCCACATGTGCCCCATCCACACATGTGTATGTGTGTATGTGTATGTGTGTATGTGTATGTGTATATGTATGTGTATGTGTATGTGTATGTGTGTATGTGTATGTGTATGTGTATGTGTGTATGTGTGGGCCTGCAGGCGCTCAACTACGCTCTTGACCGAGCCATAACAGCGTACTACGAGCGGCGCGAGTGGTGGGTGCAGCTGGTAGCGCACACCATGGCCATGGACTTCGGGTGGGAGCAATCCAGCCGGCAGTACGAGCAACTCTACCACCGCTGCCTGCCTCACCGCCGCACCTGGTGACCCACCTCCTCGTGCGATCTCGACTCGACTCGACTCGGCTCCTCTGCTGTCTCCACTGTCAGCTGCCTCTGGTGTCACCTCTACGGCTCCTACAGGCGACCCTGCTGTCACCCTTCTCTCAGCATCTCTGCTGTCGTCTCCCCTGAAGTGGAACTGGAATAACGTATGGTAGCACTTAGGAGGCCTTTAGAGGCCTCGGGGATTTCATTCCTTGGTGTTGGTTGTGAGGGGAGGGACGAGCAAGGGGCGGGGAGGGGAGGAGCAGCAGTGGAACTGCTCTGAACTCGTGATCTGGCTTTGTCAGGTCACTGCTGCTGCTACCGTGCTGTAGGCAGATTAAGTGCCACTTCTAGTCGTCCGTATATTTCTGCTTTTTTCCCCACTCGGAAAGAAGACCCATTACTTTTATTCCTCGAGCTGAGCCCTGTAGTAGCATGCTACGGTACTTGTCCTCATCCGTGTGTATGCTCAGGTGCATGTTCAGGTGCTTGTAGGGCACTGCCACTCTCTGGATCTGCCCTGCCTGATTGCTGGTCTTGTGATCTGATTTGGGGCAACTCGGTGCTGTAGAAAGATTGCTCCCTTGCAGTGCAGATCCGCTTTTATTTCTATTTGTTTTCTGTGAAGTGGATACATTTGTAGGGTGGTACACTGTTTTACTGCACTAGATGCATTTTGTTCCATGTACTAGCTATCAGCATCTGTAGTATTTTAGAACTTGTAAGGAATTTTCTCGATATTCCTTAGCGCGCCCTGCAACATTGCGTACGGCAGCAGCCGTTGTTCGCCCGTTACTGCTAACGGGGCTTCGCCGACTTCGCGCGCACTGTTTCACCAAACCTCGCACTGCTGGCCTGGCCGTGTCGGCCTACTCTTCGGGACTAGCCCGAGCCTCGCTTCCAGCATAGCACTAGCTAGCTCGCACGCACCGCGTTACCGTTTGCATGTTTCGCATATAAATGTTCGCTCATGCCTTCGCTCACATTTGGTACTCGTTTGACACCTTAGTGCAATTCTCGCTACTTCGATTCATTGCACCCGTAACACTTGGTATTCAGAGCCTCTTTCCTTTCGGACCGCGCATCTCCGCACCTCAGGAAATCAACTTTTGATTTTTCACTCAAAGGGACTCACGCACCTTAGCCCCTAGGAGCCGCTGTCCTCGCGTTCTCTCGTAAACGCGTGCAGCCACGACTGCGCCTAGACTAAGAAGAGCCGACGCCCTTCGGAATGGCTGAACGCATTGACGTCACTAGCCTCACGCAGGACCGCCTGGACGAGCTGCTGCGACAACTGCACGAAAGCTCCGAGGAAATCGTAGCATTAACGGCGGAATGCACCTCCCTGCAAAACGACCTCGCACGAGCACAATCCCAAGCACCTGGCACTCCGATTCAGCCCGCACCACAGACATCGCAACACGGAAGTGTGGGGCAACCCGCGAGCGCCGCAAGTGATGGCGTCGTCCGCCATGACGGAGACGACGACCACGGCACGACACACCCCGACGCGACGAATGCGGCCCGGAATCAGCCTCGAGTCACGATCTCCGTGCCGGCAGGCGATGTCATAATATAGCAGCAGGAAATGATTGAACTATGAGAGAATGAGGTACAAATATGAAACCCTAATGTGGGCTGTACCCCATATTGGCTACCCCACTACAGCCTAAGCATATGTAGCATATATATCATTTGACAGGCGAATCAACCCTACCGTCGCCGATGCCGCTGAAGCCGCAGCGTCCGCCATGTTTCGATCCAAGTCAGCGGGGTGGTCCTACCGTTCAGGCGTGGCTCTTCATGTCGAATGTTTTCTTCGACGCGAACTACGTCTCAGAGGATACGGCGAAGATTCGTTACGCCGTGTCGTTGCTGCGAGGACCCGCCATGGACTGGTGGCGTGTCATCGTCACGAAGCCGGTGGACTACGCGACTCTACCGACACGGGAAGGACAAACCGGACCATGGGCGCCGTCGTATTTCGTGGAGGTGCCCCAGTATCGCACGTGGGACGCGTGGTGCACAGGTCTGCGCGCTCGTTTCGAGCAAATTGCGGCTTCGATCGCGGCGCGACAGAGGCTCCGCACTTGGCGCCAACTCGGTTCCGTCCAAGACTACACGAGCGGGTTTCTGGCGCTATGCGAGCAGGTGGGATACATGCACGAGAGCGAACGCATCGACCGCTACATCGGCGGCCTGAAGCAGGACATCGCTCAGGAAATCCAGCTTCGCGGCGTCACCGACTTTCAGGAGATTCTCGCCATGGCGGAGAAACTCGATTTCTTCCGCCGACCGAGACCGGGGTCAGCAATTGGGGACATCGGCCTCGTGGGACAAACGAGGGCGCTACAATACGTGCCGTCGCCGCAAATGCCGCTGCCGCACCGTTCAAAAGGCGCTGCTTTGCGTGCAATCGGCCGGGACACCGCAAGAGCGAATGCCCGGAAAACGCTAAGGGAAAGGGGGAAGCTGAGCAGCAGAAACAGACCAAGCAGCAGGGAAACGCTGGGAGTCAGTAGCAGACGGGCCCTCTACTGACAGGTCACGCCGCTCGCCCGACCCAACCGACCCTCACCGAGTGATTGTGCCGGTTCACGCAATCGACCACACCCGGCCGAATAAGGAGGGTACTACGGTAGACAGCCCTATACTGCTTAGTGGGAAAATCGGGACGGACTTAGTAAAAATCTCCGTAGACGGAAGGGCCAGCCACAGCCTTATCAACACTGCCACAGCACGAAAACCGCGACTGCCACTGGACAGATGTTTACCTGAGATCGACGCAAGACTGGTCGACGGCACGCCACTGGCGATACGGGAACGTGTGGACCGAGTTCGGATTCGGTGCGGGGGTAACTTCACGTTTAGCCAGGAAATGCTCGCAACGACCCTCGACGGAACCGATATTTTACTCGGGCGTGATTGGCTGCGACGACACAATCCGCGAATCGACTGGACGACGGGTGACTGCACTGTGCGAGTGAACGGTAACAACATCGCCTTACCTCGCTGGGGCTCGCCTGAGTCTTCGTCGGTGCATGTCAACGCGATCACGATGAAACGCGCCGTAGCGGCAGCAACTGACGTATACGCGGTCGACATTCGGGAAGCCGAGGCAGCAGACAAAGGAGGGGACTTACAGAAACTGCTAGCCGACGTACCGAGTGATCTGGCAGCACTGTTGAAGCAGTACAGTGACATCTTCCCGGACGACCTACCGACGGGACTGCCACCTCAGCGACCGCACGACCACAGGATAGAACTAAAACCGGGGGCACAGCCGACAGTAAAGCGACAGTTCCAACTGACCCAACACGAACTGGACGAACTGAGGAAGCAGCTGGATTACCTGCTCGAGAAGGAGTTCATTCGCCCTAGTTCGTCGCCCTTCGCAGCACCGATACTGTTCACACCGAAAAAAGACGGGGGTTTTCGCATGTGCATAGACTACAGAGCACTGAACCGGGTTACCATAAAATCTCGTTACCCCATCCCGCGAGCCGACGAACTGATCGACCAAATGCGCACAGCCCGGGTTTTTTCGAAAATCGACCTTCGAGGAGGTTACCACCAAATTCGCGTCAACCCACCCGACTGCCCTAAGACCGCCTTCCGAACACGCTACGGATCCTTCGAATACACCGTCATGCCCTTCGGACTGACCAACGCCCCCGCCACCTTTCAAATGACCATGAACAAAGCCTTCCGCCCGCTTTTAGATAAGTGCGTCATCGTGTACCTTGACGACATACTGATTTACAGCCCCGACAGAGCACAACATTTACAGGACATCGAAGCAGCTTTTAAAATACTGAGTGAGAACCGCCTACTGACAAAAGCGTCTACGTGTGAGTTTTTACAGGACCGAGTGGAGTTTTTGGGACACATTATTTCAGCTGCGGGAGTGGAAATAGACCCAAAAAAGATCGCGACGATACAAGCATGGCACGCGCCGACCAACTTGACCAAGTTGCAGAGTTTTCTGGGGTTCGTCAACTACGTGCGCCGGTTCGTCTCCGACATGGCGAAGCTGACTGCCCCGTTGACTGACCTGCTGAGAAAGGGGGTTGAGTACACGTGGGGGGAGAAAGAGCAAGCTGCCTTCTCGGCCCTCAAAAATATTTTGTGCTCGCCGCCTGTGCTTCACATCGCAGATCCGCACCGTCCGTTCGAGCTCGTCACCGACGCTAGCGACATCGCCGTGGGAGCAGTACTCTTGCAGGACTTCGGGAACGGCCTTCAGCCAATCGCGTACGAGTCCCGCAAGCTTCACCCGCCCGAACGCAACTATCCGATACACGACCGCGAAATGCTGGCGATCGTGCACGCGTTCAAGGTGTGGCGATGTTACCTCACGGGAGCAGACGTGCCAGTACGGACAGACCACCGATCCCTACAGTACCTTCGCGCCCAACCGAATCTCAACCCGCGACAGATCCGCTGGTTGGACTATCTGGAGTCCAACTTCCACTACACGGTCACGTACAAAAAAGGCGCATCCAACATCGCCGACGCACTCACACGCCCCACCGTCCAACTCCACGCTATCCTATTTGCCCAAACCAACCCACTGTTAACAGGCCTATTCACCCCGGATACAGTACCGACCCATTTTTCACAACCGGAAATTCACAGCAACTGGTAGAGGCCAAAGGAGTCTATTACGTAAAAACAGGCACCAACCGCATCTGGGTACCCGCGTACTCACTACTGAGGGAACTGTTACTGCAGGAGGCACACGACGGGATTACCTCGGCACATTACGGGGTAGAAAAAACGCGACAGCAACTGCAGCGGTATTACTACTGGCCGGAGCTGTTGACCGACGTGCAGCAGCACGTGGGCTCGTGTCCTACGTGTCAGGTGATGAAGAGCTCGCGAAAAAGAAAGGCGGGTCAGTTGCAGCCGATTCCACCGCCTGAGCGCGCCTGGCAGCAGGTTACCATGGATTTCGTCACGGGGTTACCTTCGAACCTTGGGGGTAACGACGCAGTTATG